TTTTAATGTTTTTTGTTACCTAAATATTAAGGATTATCTTTAGGTATTATGTCTAAAAATGGCAGTTTTTGGGTTAAAATAGGGATTTTTGGAAGTTTATTTTTATAAAAATAGTATTTTTGGGTTGGCTATGGGTGAAAAATAACATTTTTGATAAATTCTGAACCTAGAATTTTTAAAATTTTAAAATTTTGAAAAATTTTAAAGAATGAATATTTTTGGTTTTTTGGCCAAAATTTTTGCTATTATTGAGTTTTAAAGCTTATATTGAAGTAAAAATGATCTTTTTTTATAATTTTTGACTAAAAATTCAGTCAATTTTAAAAATTAAAAAAAAAATTAAATTTTAAAATTTTTTGAAAAATTTTATAAAAATTGTTATTTTTTGTCTACTCTTCCTTATACAAACCATAATTAACCCATTTTCAAATTTTCTTTACAATAAATCTATTAAAAAGTACGTTTCCATTGAAATTCTAATTACTTTCTTATCTAGTGTAATATCTAGTCGAGTTTGATGTCTTAGCTGACGTTCAAGTGTTTGTAACTTCCTTCTTAATCGTAAAATGTTAATTTTTTTGTTTCACTGGACTTTGTACATTGTCTGACTTTACAATTTCACATTTAAAACTGCGAAATCTGTGTTTTTGTCTGACTGAAAGGGGGTTCTTTGCGCGCACTCCGCTATTTGCGCACTCTTTCTCCTCTCTTCTTGGATTTTGTCTGCTTCGGCGGGATTTCTCTGCCCGCTCTCGCAAATTTATGCGCTGTCTCCTCTCTCTTTTTGGTTTTCGTCTGATTTGACGGGATTTCTGTAACCACTCTCTCACTTTTCGACCTTCACTCACTTTTCCTGTGTTTCCCTCCTAAATCCCCGCGTTCTCTCGCCAGTTCTCGGCCGTTCTCTCGTTTTCACACAATTTCTCGTCAAACTTTGTCAATTTTTCGCCAAAGCCGACGAAATTGGGCGTGGCCGACGCCCCGTTCCCTTAACTGTATGAAAAAAGGATCGCGTGCGCGCTGAAATTGTCGGTATCATTCGGAAATCTCAAACATACTCAATTAGTTTTTAATATTCGTCTAATTGAGCGTGGAATTGTTAATGGTAGTGTTTGGTGGGCTTAAAAACTTTATAATTATACTACGTCATGTTTGTGGATTTTGCGGTTTTAATATTGGGGATGGTTTACTATGGGGTTGGTAGCTTTGGGGATTGCACGGTGCAAAAAGTTCAATACTTGTGTGGTGCCAAAACCAATAATGGTCGATTTTTAATAATTTGTAATAACAGTCTACAGGCTATGGGAAACATATAGTACGATCAATTTTTACTTTATTTTTTTTAAAGGGGCGGATTTTTTATATTTTAAACATTTCACGGTGCAAAAATCAATAGTGTCGTTGTGTCAAAAAAATTATCAGAAAATTACAAAATTTGGCACTAAGATTTAACATGTTACGGCAAAAAATATAGGACGGTCAATTTTGTATTATTTAGGTGAAAGGGGCTGATTTTTAATATTTGGGTGACTGCACGGTGCAAAAATTAAAAATTTTCACTGTGTCACAATAAATAGTAGAAAATATATAAAATTTGACAGGAAGTCTTCAGAAGCTATGCAAAATAATTTGGGAGGGTTATTTTTGGTTTCTTATTTTGAAAAGGGGCGGGTTTTTTATATTTTAATGACTGCACGGTGCAAAAATTAAAGTTTTGCACTGTGCAGTCACTGCCATTTTTTATATATAGGAAAATACAATTTTATTTAAACCCTATGTTTGCTGTACATAGTAATACAATTTTCCATCTGAATCTATCAAAAAATATCGTTGACACATCAAAAATATTATTGTTGTCATCAAAAAACATCTTTATACCAAGGACCGGCATACTATGTTAAAACCCGTAACATTGCCAGCCTAATCAATTTTGATTGGCACACGTTGATAGCATTATCTTGTTTGTCAATCGATCCGCTTATCTCTGGCCTCATTAATGTTATGGTGCAAGATTGGGGGCGCATCTTCCTTTAATTGCTCAATTTTTATGCGTTGAAGACGTTGTTTATGGTCATAAGCGTGGCATAGTTAATATATTCGAGGAATATTGATGGTTTTTGGACTTTTGTGGGTTTGTAGAATTCAATTTGACGTGATTTTTGATTTTACACTTGGTAGTCTTATTGAAAATGGCACTTGTTTTTGAAATTTTTTGGGAGAAATGACTGATTTTGATGAAGAAAAAATATTTTTTTGAAAATTTGGGGTACTGTAACTTTTTTTAACACTTTTTATTAGCTTTACCATACCTTAGGCTATCTTTTGACATTAGTCTTACCTGATTTTTTTTGCGTTATCAACCTGAAAAATCTAATTTTTTAAAAAATTTTTAGGTTTTTTGCTTAAATGTTTTAACAAATAATATCATACTGTAATAGTGGGTTACTGTAAATTTTAGAAATTATTTTTAATAGCTTTACAGGACCTTAGGCTATCATAAATCAACAATTTCGACAAACTTTTCACATTTTGAAAGTTCAAAAACACCAATTTTCCGCAATTTTTCCTCGTTTTTTGACCGGATATGAACACTAATGATGTACACGTGGTATGTTAACAAATATACGGTTTGTTTGCTCCAATTACATTGACATGGGACTAATAAACAAGATTTGGGACGAAATTGCGGTCAAAGATTACTAATCTTGATTTTATATCACTTTATATTGTTATAGATCTAAATTTTTACAAATTTGTTACAAAGTTTTTGAGGCTTGGTATGTAGGTGGTCGAAAGTGATAAATTTGGTATTATTGTGTGTATTCAAGTTTATTTTATCCTATTTATAAAGGTTGTGACATAGAAAGTTTTGTTTTATGTTACGGTGAAATAACGAATAGCTATACATTAACTGTATTATCATGAGCCGCAACGTTTAGAGTGTGGTATTTTGTCACGTACGTAATGTAAATTGAGAAAATGGTTGTTTTTAGATGTACTAGGGTATATTCAAGCCAATTCTAAAATATTTTATCATTTTGCTAGTTCGTTTTGGAGTTACGGCTTTTTTTATATTATCATAGGTAGTTGTACCTTGCAAAGTTAAACTTTTTGTATCTTACTTCTTTGACTTTATAATAACTTGTTTTTTGCAAATATAGACGTAACATGATCTTTGTAATGTAGTTTTTTAAAATAATTTAAGTCGACTTTATAACTTTTTGAGTTATAGCTATCTGGTATATTAACATAGACAATTGATGTTTGGGTTCTCAATAGTTAATATCTTGGTTTGTAGGCATTATATTGATATTTGACTAGTTGATGTAGTAAGGTATGCCAAACATATTTTTTAACAAAAAATTGTTGTTATAGGTATTAGACTTAGAGCAACTACAATATTATGTCATACTAGACATTAGTGTTGAAGGTTTGGTTTTTAGGCATAAATGGGAATGTAGCAGATGTCGAGACCTAATGTTTTGCATGTACATTGATTATGTCACAATAAATCTTATTGTATAAAATTTTAAAGTAAAATACAGTAGTTTTTGAGATACGATGGTTTGACCTTCCTCTAGACGTTAGTATGTGTGACATTGTTTTTTATGCATATCATAGTTTTTAGATAACATAACGGCATAATTACTGTGTTTTAACTTTTATTATGGTCTTTTTTGTAAAATTTTTAAATATTTTCAAATTTTGTTACTTACTTCTCGAGTTACAGCCGTTTGCCTATCTTCATACAAATTCTTGTACTCGAAAGTAAATTGCTATATAAGGTGCTTCAAAAAGGCTTTGCAAGGCTTTTTTATACCTAAAATACCAAAAAGTAGTTTGAAAAGTATCTCACTAGTAGTCAAAATAAAATGGCTATCAAAAAATGGTCATGACATACCATTAATGTTATTAAACCTATAACTATACATATAGTAACATCATCTCGTTCAAGATACGAACACAAATGTAGCGTGACGTTCCTTGACTTTTTCTGCAGATTAATATACTCACATTTACTTGGTATTCAAGTAATCAGTGCTTTTTACAAATTTATTTCCTGTTTTTTTGCCTTCGGGAGGGTGGCTTATATTACTTTAGGCATTAACAATTATTTTGGGATGGGAGCAAAAACACAAATTCTATATAGGTATATGCAAATTTTTGAAAAGAAAAATCTTGTTTGGGTTAGTAGGAGTGCATAACATTAAATTTTAAAAATTTGAAAAAAAATTTTTTTTGAAAGATTTAGCCCTTGTGGATTTTTTAGTAAAAAATTTGTTTTTAAATCTTAAATATGCTAATTTTATACTAAAAATATGTTTTGTTTTATTTACCAATGACTACAGTAATTTTATAAAAAAAGCAAAAAAAATTAAAATCCACCCCCAAAAACTTTTTACCACACCCGCCCAGCCTTACCTAAAATATAAAAAATATTTTATTTTGTGACTTTCAGACTTGTACAAGTACATAACTCTGATCACTTAGATATTTTTGGACCGAAAACCGCAGTAATTATTTATATTGCCGTGGTAAATTAACGTTGGGAAAGGGCGTGGAAACCAATTTTTGTTTGAAATCCCAAAAATTACTCATGTTTAATGAGTTTTTTCTATTTACAAGCTGTTTTTAGCTGGTTTTGCTTTTGCATTTTGGTCAGTTTTGCTTTTTTTAATTTTCGACTACTTTTTGGTCGATTATTAGGTGGAAAGAAAGTTATTGCAGTTTTTAAAATTTTTGTGAATTTAAAGGTTTTAAGGGCTTTTAGGCTTATGTGTAGCCCTTATATCATGATATTATTATTTTTACGTGATTTTTGACTGTAAAGAAAGTTTTTGCGGTTTTTAAAATTTTTCGAAATTTCGAAATTTTTTGTAAAATTTTAATAATAATTGCTATTTCACTCTATTATAGACCATATAAAGCCCTAAAAATTATGTTGTTTCAGAGATACCGCCCAAATACTGTAGTAACTCTGAAGATACCATCATATCCAGATGGAATGTATACCCGGATGTGAAGTGATTTTGCCGGAAATTGGCACAGCAAGTGTCAAAACCAAATTTGATGCTTGTCAGTCCCCGGCCGTACTATCGTTTTCAGTCAGAGTAAGTTGTACTATTTAGTTTTGTCAGCGTCAAAAAGAATTGGGTTGTTTTCATAGTAATTACATAGAAAAAAAAATTCAATTCTTTTTCAAAGCGGGGTGAAAAATGTCATTTTTCAACACTTAAATTTTAAAATTGAACACTATTTTTATAAAAAAGATTTTTTACATCTTCTCGGCCATTGTTTTTACACTTTTAATGCCGTTTCCAAGAAGTATTGAGAGTTATGTGGGGCTTTGAACGTCTGAGGTGCATATTATACATGCTATTAAGGTAAATGTTTTGGGGATTCAAACTGTTATGTCTTAAAAATGTTTGTTTTTGTGATTCTTTGCAGTGTGAAGGATTATGAAGGACAGTTTAGTTAATTGCAAGGTCTTACAATGAGTTAAAACAGAATGCCAAGAAACCCGCGAAAATGAAAATTTAAATTTTTTTGAAAATTTTTAAAAAACATGGCTTTAATTTTGTGATTTAAAAAGCTTTTGTTTTTTTAGTTTATCTTAGCACGTTTTTGCTGTTTGAAACGTTATGCCAAAGATTCGCTAAAAGCCCGCAAAAATTATAATTTGAATTTTTTTGAAATTTTTCTAAAATACAATTTTGTTTTAAGGGTCGCTGGCCTTTTAAGCCAATTTTGGCACATTTTAGCTGCTTGAAACGTTATGCCAAATATTTGCCAAAAGCCCGCGAAAATCAAGATTTAAATTTTTTGAAAAAATTTTTAAATTAAAACTAAAAAGTCAAAAACAATCTTATTTTATATCGCAAAATATTTAATTTGATTATATATTTTTTGATCATTTTAAAATATTTTTGGTCGTTATAACTTATATTAACCATGAGCTGCTTATTACTCTGGCCGCGAATCCAATTAAACTCTCAAGTAAAATTTTTCGCAATATATTAGAAAAAGTGTTTCATTAAATTAAAAAGTTGAAATCTGTCAATAGAATTTGATTTTATTAAATTTTCAAAAATTTTTTAAAAAATTTTAAAAATATTGGTCGAATTTGAAATTTTTTGAAATTGAAATTCCATAACCAGTATAATATTGCCCAACAGATAATATGATGTTTCCCAATATCTAATATAACATTGCAATTGCAATTCATTGCCGAAAAAATGAATTTTGATCCCCAACGAATGTTATATTCTAATGGCTTTGGCAAACACAAAAACCACTGCACTTAAGCCAATTAAAACACAAACCCGACCTTTGTGATTGAGTTTCAAGTGGACCTGAACTTGCGTAATCTTATTAGCAGTGGGATTTGTGGCAGAGGGTAGGGTAGGGTGGGTAGGGTAGGGTAGGGTAGGGTAGGGTAGGGTAGGGTAGGGTAGAGTAGGGTAGGGTAGGGTAGGGTAGGGTAGGGTAGGGTAGGGTAGGGTAGGGTAGGGTAGGGTAGGGTAGGGTAGGGTAGGGTAGGGTAGGGTAGGGTAGGGTAGGGTAGGGTAGGGTAGGGTAGGGTAGGGTAGGGTAGGGTAGGGTAGGGTAGGGTAGGGTAGGGTAAGGCAGGGTAGATGCTTTTTGTTTACTCCAGATGTCATATTTTGCTATCCCCCAAATTTTGTTTATTTCATATGCCCTCATCACTGTAAAAGTGCGTCGAGAGCCTCGAGAGAGCGAAAAGATTCAAAAAGATTAAATTTGACATCATTTATGAGAGGCCACTTACAACTTCTGGACTCTAATTTAACGCTTTTTCAGATCTAATAACAACAAGGGGGGGGGTTTACTTCATAAAAAAAAGCTTTTTAATACCCTAACCTACCCTAAACTACCCTTCTACCCTACCCTATCCGACCCTAATTCTTGCCATACGCCTTTTTTGTCTACCCTGTGTTTTTTACCCTGCCCCACGCTGACCTGCCCTGCTTGAGCTCTACTCTATTGATACAGTACTCCGTCTTAATATAGCCTATTCTGCATCCGCTCGTCTCTGTCTGATGTCTTGTCTTAGCGTTATTCTACCTTACTTTAAATTACAGAGCCCTAGCTTATCCTACTGAATCAGTCTTACATGTCATGTTAGCTCCCCCGCTCTTTTTTCTAAAAATATGACCCTACCTTACTCTAGCCTGGTCTTTACTTTATCCTACCGTAAAGAAAGCTTTGATTCTTGACGTTTTGCTTCAGTTTTTCAATCTTTATCAATAAAACAATGCCATCCAAGAAACAATGACAATATTATTCACCCTATTGAATAAACAAAAAACCCTCCGGTACTATTATACTCCATTATACACTACTCAGTTATGCCAGAAATGTAAATAGATGTTTCTGGGAAGTGAAGAAGACACTTCCGCCTATCTATTAAGTATTTACTTTGTTTGGTCGTATTTGTCTTCGTTGGTCGCAGATAAAAGGCCAGAGATTAGCAGCGACACCTTACTTAACAATGGCTTTATGATGCCATTATAGCCACATAAGGGATCGTATACGATGAGATATTACGGTTCGAGGGATCGTATATTACGTTTGAGAACATGGCGGGCCGGTTTTGGTTTCTGGGTTTGTTTGCTTTGGATTATACTGTAATTGGGGGGGGTACTGTAGCTAAGAAATTATAGCACTGTAGCTAGAGTAGGGTAGGGTAAGCTAGGGTAGGGTAGACCAGACCAGGCTTGACTAGTAGACTTGACCAGACCAGGCAAAACAAGACCAGACCAGATTAGACCAGACTTGACTAGACTAAGCTAGACCAGACCAGACCAGGCCAGACCAGACAGAACCAGACCATACCAGACCAGACCAGATTAGACCAGACCAGATTAGACCAGACCAGACCAGACCATACCAGACCAGACCAGATTAGACCAGACCAGACCAGACCAGATTAGACCAGACCAGACTAAACTAGTTTAGACTAGACCACACCAGACTAGACTTGACTAGGCTTGACTTGTCTAGATTAGACCAGCTTTCGAGCCAAGCCGAATTAATTTCCTAGGCATGGCCCGGTCCGGCCAAATTTAGCTCAAACCGAGTCCGGTCTTCCTGGTTATTATCCACTTGTTACAACATATGCTTCAAGATGTAAACATGTTCGCGCCTGTTACTCTTGTAATTCTGTCCATCTGTTCTCGTCTGGATTAGCTTCCGCTGGGATTTGGAAGAGAGAGTATTGAGAAGGGAGAGAGTGATTAGAGAAAAAAGAAAAATGGTTTAGGGTTCAAAAAGGAAAGAATTAATGGATCTACAATAACATTAAAAATTTTTAAAAAACGAAAGAATTAATGGATTTCACAAAATGCCATTTTCAGAGTGACGGCAAAGTCACATCCCACACTTTCGCCGCCGGCAATGAATTGGAAGTCCGGCCGTTGCGCAACAATTATTGGCAACTTAACTTACGGGTTCGGCTTCGTGCTGTGGGTGAATCGCATCATGCTGAGGCTTGTATGGAGACTGTCAGAACGGGCAATTTGACTTGCTTTATGAATGGCGTCATCCCGGATTCGGCTTCGGAATGCTCGCATGATCGGCATGAGGGTAGGGTGGAGTTTGTAATGCTATTTAGTGCTCTGTTTTATGGTACTATAGAATACAAGATTTTGTGGTACTATACATTACTATAATTTATGGTATTATACAGTACTATAGTTTATGGTACTATACAGTACTAGAACTTATAGTACTATAAAGCATCAAATTATATGATACTACAGAGTACTTGAGATTATGCTACTAAATAGTACAAAACTTTATGGTACTATATAGTACAAATTTTTATAGCACCAAATAAATATTACTTTCAATTTTAGTACCATTTTTCAAATAGCAGTACTAAAAAGTTAACATTTCAAAAATTTTAGCGAATTCCGGCTTCTTCATGGTACTGTTATGTGTAATATTGGTAACATGCTTACTGATGATTGGTGTCGCAGTGTGTACTATAATGCATCGATTCTATTCACAACAAAAGTCAGGAGGATCTAGGAAAAACAGCAGTATTTCTAATGGAAAAGGCGTAAGTTATCTAGTCTAGTCCTAGTCTAAGCCCTAGCTTAAGCTCTAGCCTAAGCCCTAGCCTAAGCCCTAGCCTAAGCCCTAGCCTAAGCCCTAGCCTAAGCCCTAGCCTAAGCTTCAGCATAAGCCCTAGCCTAAGCTGTAGCCTTTCTCCTAGCTTTACACCAAGACCCAGTACAATACCTTTAAATTTCAGAGTATGCACTGTTCGCTAGTAAAAGACCCAAGTACAGTATGTTCACTGAAATTCCCTGAAGATCGATTAGAAGTGATAACAGAAGAGGAAGATGAAAAAGATTTCAATTCGGAATCAGATCACAATATCAATGACAAATTGAGTGATGCCGTAACGGAAGAAGTGTCAAATCATAGTAGTGGAAGTGGCACACCGACTAGTGGTCATCGCGCCAGTTTTTTGTACAAAAAAGGTCAGCATACCTCTTAAAAAGCATAAGCATTAGTGTACATACTGTAAATTTCATGTTCGTACCTAATTTTTCCAACTAACTTACATTCAATTTCAGATCAAGTAATCCTACCGACTCAAATCCAAGCTCAGCGGCGTAATTCCCAGCCATTTATGTTTCCGATCAGTGATAAAAAACCACCCCTAACAACATTTTCATGACCTTACTGTACTAGAAAATCAGAATTTGTATTTTCATAGTGGTTTGGTCTGTATGGATCTCTTACATTGGTCTTTATGGATCTCTTGTACTGATCTATATCTATGTATCATACTGATTTGTAAGTCTCTCTCATACTGATCTCTATGTACCACTCATATTGATCTGGAACTATTTTTTATACTGATCTGAATGACCGCTCACATTGATCTGTATGTATCTCTCATACTGATCTGAATGACCACTCACTGTGATATGTATCTGTTATATCTTGATATGTATGTCCCTCCCATATTTTGTACTAAATGGTGCTGATCTCTTGCAAAAATTCCGGCCGGACTCAACAAACTGCCTCCGGCCATCAAAAGCCTTTACTGTATTTACGCGGTTTTTCACATTATTTATCGTCTTTTCAGGTATTTTCGAAATAAACTTATTCAAAAAGAATTGTGTTGGTACTGCACAATAATATCACCTTCTACTCTACTTACCGTGCCTTTTCTACTCTACTCACCGTGCGTTTATACCTATACTATAAATACCCCAAAATCCAAAAACCCCGCTACAGTCAATTATATTCACCATGAACCATTAGCTTCACCTAACTTTTAAACACCAGATTTTATTGAGTTAATATATCTTGTTTATCATTCGTCGCTTCGCATCTTTGTCGTGTTTGCTGTCTTGGCAACTGAAAATCAAATTTTTAGCCTAAAATTCTCTGTTAAGCTTAAAATTCTCTACTAAGCCTAAAATTCTCTTCTAAGCCCAAGGTTCTTTGCCAAGCCGAAAATAAGCCTAAAACTTTCTTCTAAGCCTAAGAGTCTCTGCTAAGCCTAGGGTTCTTTGCCAAGCCAAAAATAAGCCTAAAGCTGTCTCCTAAGCCTAAAACTCTAAACCAAGTCAAACACCCAAACCTTACTATAATATGTTATTGACGTGATGCTGAGCAACATTTCCTTGTCAAAGTAGTGGTCGTTTCGTTTCAACTGGTCGACCGTGGCGAATGGATATAACTTGTCTCGGGCAGGGAAGGGATCCTTTAACATTCGTGTCTTGTTACACACCTCTTCCAGCAGGACCATGTCGATGAGTAGATCATCGTCGGTGAGTTCGTCTTGATCCCGCGGCGAGCCTATCATCCAAAATGGCACTCCATTCTCCAGTGGATTGTCGCTACGATGGCCGCCCTTCCGCTTCTCGGTTTCTTCCTCGTCTTCGCAGTTCAACGTCTCCAGCACGTCGTTGTCGAGGACGTTGGCCATGACACTCTTTTGGTTGTTCTGAAATTAAGTTAGTAATTTGCGTCTAGGAGTAAGTGAAAGAAGGGCAGGAAATGCTAAATCGGAAAAAAATTTGGGCGGGGTAAAAAATTTTGGGGAAAGGGGGGGGGAGGGAGAGTAACTATAATAATAAAATTTTTTTTTCAAGTTTTACGGTAACTCTAGTTCTGAATTAAAAAAAACTTTTTAAAAATGAAAAAATCCTTCCCCCTCCCCCCCCCCGCCTCATACCCGCCCGGCCTAAAATCAATAAACTTAGGCTTACATCTTTCTTATCTTTACTATCCTTGGCCGATGCCTTCTTCGAACTGACACTTCGACTGAATGACGATGACATTGTGGAGTGATCCGTAGCTTTCGTTTCCATTGGCTTTGTACGACGAGCTCTGTAACAATACATATAAAAGCGTAGGCCTAACGCACCTTACCCTACTACATCGTACTCTACCGTACCTTATCCTACCCTACCTTACCCTTAACATATATTTCACCTCCTCATACCTTCTTCCCTACTCCACCCAACAAAAAACCCAAAATGCCAACAACCTACCTAGCCTCATACACCACCTCGCCCTTCTTCTTACCAGGCCAGATGGCGTAGCGCGGATTCGGTCGAATATTCAAATATTTAGCCTTCAACACACCAAAGTTGGCCGGCGGCGGTTTTTTCGGAAATTTGTCGTCCGTGGTCGCTTTGACATGACTTTTGGGACCCGCTGTTGCCAGTACCTCATGGATACGGTACTTGACATATGTCCTTCTTCGTCTGCTGCTACTTGCTTCGCTGTGGGTTGATTCTTATTACTCTTCTTGCTTTGGATCGTCGCCAACGTGCGATTCATATTATCATCTTTGGTCTTTTGTGACGCCATCTTGAGGCGGTTGGTGCTGTTTTTAAGGTTATGGGCTTGGTACTGTTTTTAAAATTATGGAGGTGGTACTGTTTCTGAAAGGATTAAAACTAGGAAGGCCAAAAAAATTTTTTAATTTTTGAGTTTCAAAACCAAAATAATTTAAAAACGTTTAAAAATGAAATTTGACTGCAATATCAACAAACACACTCAAGAGCTTGATGCTCAACCAAGCGACAAACCAATGGAATTTAATTGACCGTCTCTAACGAAGAATTAACTATGAAATGACATTCTTTTGGGTAATACATCTGAAACTTTGAAAAAATTGATCAGATTTTGAATAAATTTTAAACAAAATTCATTTTATTTCTTCCTCCGACATGTTTTAGACCTAAAAATTATATTTGTTACCTAAAATTAAAAACAAAACATTTTATACCTAAAGATCAAAATTTAATACCTAAAAGCGAAAAAATTACAGAAATATTAATCATTACCTAAAATTATAAACCGGAAACGGCTTTTTGCCCCAGAAACAAATTCTTTGGCTAAAAACTAAATTTCTTCGTCAATTTTGCGTATAAAATGTCTCACGCAGGTCACAAAGCCTGGACTCCGTCCGCGAAACTAATTTTTTATTTTGGAACTCGGAAATAAATTTATTTTGCTTGTTTCTTCAAAACATTAGTAAAATATTCTATAATAAAACTTTTTCAACAAGTAAACATATGTTAGAATTACTATGAGCGTTGACATTTATCTAGTTTTGGACTTGAGCGTAACGATATCTCAGAATGTGGAAGTTACAAAGTGTAAAAAGGTTCAACAAGCTCTAACCTTTGTTGAAAGCTTCATTGATAACGTGGATAAAACTGAAGTTAATGTTAAATTAGTAAGTTTATGTTGTTTTGAAGGTTTATGTGTTAGGTTAAATGTTTAATGCATTATATCTTTTAGATATTCGCTGCTGGAAAGCCCGTTCTTGCTAAAAGCAAGGTTATTAGTGGAAGTGTCGTTAAAGGACTGTTTCAGCAGTAAGTTTTTATTGTTTTTGTTTGGTTTTTAGGTAAAGTTGAAGGATGAGAATGAAGAACGTTTTGCGATTGGTTTTGGTTAGGTTTATCAGGGTTTTGTGCCGAATTCTAGCGAAATATTATGTTATACATCAAGTGCAACGGAAAATCATATGTTCGAGAAAGCGTTTTAAACTTTTTAAGGAGTTTTTGAACTTACAAGTATTAGAAGAATTTTGTGAATGGTTTAAGAGTAATTTTGAGTTAGTTTCATTTGTTTTGAATCTTTTTTGGTTAATATTATATTACACATTAAGTGTAATCTTGAAAAGTCTTATAACTTAAAATTCTTAACCTAATTTTAGGTTTCTATCGAAACTAAACAATCAATATGGACTTCTTAACTTTTGGGACTTGAAAGATTTAATTTTGGATCACAAAACGGCTCGGCCGATCGAAATCATAATGTTGACGGACATGGTAGATGAATTTGAATTTGACAACGATTTCCGCCTCTCAGCTTTATGGAGATTTGTTCTGCTATCAAATTATGAAACAGAAGGGTTGAGTGAGAAACTGGTTGCGGTTTTGGAGACGTTTTCATTAGAAATGGGGGTATATTGTGGATTGGGAAGAGGTATCAGTGACTTAAATGGGGCGAAGCACTTTCCTTTGTTGTTGTGTGAATATGATACTGTTGAAGAAGCAGCGAAGGTGTTGGCTAACGAAGAAAGGACGGAGAAGTTTGTGGACATTGTTGTTTCACCGGTTTTAACGTTAAAAGTGAGGTTTTATATTGAGTTTGTCAGCTGAAGGTCATGTGTAATATATTTTTAGTTTATTCATAAATTAATTTAAGTTTTCTGATTATAGACAAAGCTTCAACCGGGTATACCTAAAAACCTGGTGATATTTTACAATGAAATGACTGCGACAACAGTCAACACATCGCAGCCACCTACGTTTAAAATGATTGCTACAGTGCCGACTCCAAGTATCAATCGACTGTCTCAAACTTCTTTGATCCATTCGGTTATACCGGTAAATAACGACAAAAGAGACGGTTTTCTTTGTATGGCAAAGACATTGACTGGTGTTGTGCCCATGACTGGCATTTTACAACATTCAAGCGGAGAGGAGTGCTTTCTTAGAGCTATCAAGTGGGTTTTGATGTCTAGGACAACATAATTTAAAACTAAATTTGCCAAAACCAAACAAAATCATGTTCAATTTACAGAAAAAACGAAGATATAGCACTGGTCCTTCAATTTTATCCAAAACAGTACGTCAATTTGAAGAGAAAAGAGGATCCAGATGTTGTGATTGACTCAAGGTTCCCAAGTGTTTCGTACAAAGCTACTGACAGATTCTTTTGGGCTGAAGGCACAGAAATTCAACAAGATGTAAATAAGCTGTGTAGAAAGCTGAAACGAGATCTAACACCACAGGGTTATTATGAGGTCGGTGGATAACGGAAATACTTGGAGTTGGGGATGACTGATGGGTCATGGTTAATATAATTGATAGTAGTGAAATTTTTGGAGCTTTTTGGGGTTTTTATAAAGAATATTAGTTTGGAATTGAAAATTATTATTTTGGTTGGTATAGTGTTGTAATAACAGAGAAATAATTTATATTATAGTAGGTATACTACCTCAATATAACCTTATTGTCAAAATTTGCACCAGAGTAGAAATTAAATTTCAGGACCTTCGCGCAATGTCAGAATTTGCCGTAGCATGTGACTTTTATGATCTTGGCCCAAATTTTGCACAATTATTGGAGAAACGAGCTATATCTCAAGACCTACACACCAATATCAATATAATCTCAACGATTGAAATTTTACGGAATGGTGGCTTTCAAGGCCTTTTAATAGCACTACCAAAGATGGAACAGCTAGCGCTGAAGTAGATTTTGGATTGTACAAATTTTTATTTATTTTGATTGTTACCTAATCTTATTGTACTAGGAAGGTGCCTGACTAACTCCGCTCTGATTGACTTGAAACGTTTTATATAGAAAGATATGTAGATATAAGATGTTTAGCAAAGTATTAAATCGCGGTTTTTAGTCAATCTCCGGAAAATCGAGATCAAAAAATTAAATTTTGAATTTCCCGTCAGTTTGGCATTGTGTTTCAAGCTTATAACTTTGTCATTTTTTGACTTTTAATCATTTTTCTTTGATATACTAGTCACAAACCTTTAGATAGACCTACATTTTTGAATTTATACGCGTAGCTTGTCTGGAAAGTCAAACAAAGTGCTTGAAACACAATGCCAAATTGGCGGGAAACTTAAATATTTAAAATTTGAAACTCAAAAGCGCGAGTTAAAAGTTTTTATGCGTACTATTGGTGGTACAAAGAGTTCATATAAAAATGTTGAGCTGATTCTGAGCGAGGCAGGTTGGGTACTTTGATTATCTTGATGTAGTTGTTTGGTGTTACAATTTAGGTATATTTTGAGATTTTTGTTAGTTTTGAAGACTTTTAAAAGGTGTATTTATAGTGATATGATAATATCGAGATGATACGATGATATTGAGGTTTATAAATGAATAAAGAAATAAATTTGTCTCATTATCCCTATGGTATTTACTGTCCAAATGTACTATATCATCCATTTACTTTATCTTTACTTGTACTAATGTAATATTCTCTTTGTATAACGTCAAGAAAATCATATTTTGCACGGTGAAAACACTCGTTTTTCCTGGTTTAACGGACCTAAATTGCTTTGTTTGACGAAGACCGAAAGTTCCGGGACGAGTGAAAGACGGTCTGGCCAAAGCGGCCCTTTGGCCCATTTTGGGGACAGTGTTAAAGTGGAATGACTTTGAGAAATGTGGTCGGAATACTAATTTTGTTATAATTTTGGGCCGGGAATTTGAAAATTTTGAAAAAGTGGCAGGGGTAAATTTTTTGGAAGGGGGTGGATTTTAATTTTTTTAGTGCTTGATCTAGTTATGATTTTTTAAAAATCTTTTATGTTTCTGTTTTTAAATGCTTGCGGGGCGATGTGGTTTGAGGGACAATAGGGTAAATTTTTTGGAAACAGGGGTGGATTTTAAAATTTTTGTTAGTTTTTGACCTTGTTATGACTTTTTTAAAATTATTTTAGTTTTTTTGTTTTTAAATGCCTGAGGGGTGATTTTGGTGTGCAGGATAATGGGGTAAATTGGGAAAAGAGGGGTGGATTAATTTTTTTTTTTCAATAATATAAGAATATTTGAGCGTACTCGCTAGCCAAGGCCAGTTAAAAATTTTTAAAAATTGTTTTTAGGCAACTTTTTATGCTCTTTCATCCTATGTAGGTCTTGTTCTAAAAGTTGAGGAGCATTTGATGCAATTATGTAGTTGGGGGAAACTGACAGGTCATGGTTAATATAATTGATCGAAATGCGGTTTTTGAAGAAATTTTTTGATTTTTATAAAGAAAATGGGTTTGAAATTGAAAATTTTTTAATTTTTTGGTATATTTTTGTAGTATTAGAGATGTAATTTATATTATAGTAGGTATACCTCAATGATTTTTTTTGAAAAAACCGCAAATTTGGCTAAAGTTTGGGCTTTGAAGGGCTTTTTCACAAAACTTGGGTTAGAAGTAGTCTATGGTAGACATTTTAAAGAAGAGGGGTACAGGGTTAAACAAGGGTAGACATTTCAAAGAGCAGGGGCCAGAGAAAGCCAAGGGTAGACATTTGAAAGGCCAGGGGCCATTGCAAGCCTATAGCACCATTTCATGGAAGAGGGGTACAGGACAAGCTAAGGGTTGACATTTGAAAGGCCAGGGGCCAGAAGAAGGCAAGGGTAGAGATTTGAAAGCCTAGGCCCCAGAGCAAGCCAAGGATAATCATTTAAAAATTAAGGGGCCAGCACATTCCCGGGGGTAGACATTCGAAAGACGCGGACCCAGCACAAGCCAAGGGAAACAGCATCCAAAGCGAAGCGGTCCGCATCAAACAGGGGCGAGGGCACACACGTAACCCCCCAAACATTCCCCATTCGGTCGCAATTTGGGGAATGTTCGCTGGGCTCAACCGACCACACGGCCTCTCCTGTGTCTTCAGCCAGGCGAGCGCGTCGGGGGAAGAGGGGCGAGTGGGGATGGGGTGTTTTGCGCCCGCCTGGTCCGACCCACCACTTCCCAACCAAGACGGACCGGACGAAAACGCTCTCTTTTCTTCGAATTTCGACTCGGATCGAACTGAATATGGATGTGGTGGGCAGGGTTGATGGTGGGGTTGGATAGGATATGATAAGGTTGAGGTGCAGGGTAGGGTCTTGGCAAGGGATGTTTTTGACTAGGTATACGGTAGGTTGATATGAACTAAGTTATGGTGATTTTAAGGCGGTTTCTGGGCTTGAACAAAAGGATTGCTTAAAGAACGTTTGGAGCCCCCCCCCCTATAAGGAAAACCGTAGCGACGCCCTTCAGTACAGTGCTGGGGTATATAAATTGATTTTTTTTGGAGGGAAAAGGCTCAACTACCCAATCCTTCTGTACTTTACCCTACGCTGCCCTATCTTGCTCTAGGGGTGAAAAACGGGTCGTATAGGTTTGGCTTGGCTTTGAGCTAAAGTTGAAACGGGTTGGGGTTTGAAAAGTAGGTCTTGATTTTTTTACTTTTTTGGATACCACAGTCAATAAATGACCTAAAACAATGCAAAGCCAAATGTCCTCTTCTTTAAATTTTTTTAAAAGTTTTGTAATGCGGCCGGGCTTGAAAAGTAGGATCGGGTCTAAATTTTTTTCTTATTTTTTAAATTTTTTAAAAAATTTTTATTAATGATTTTTTGACAATTTTGAATACCACAGTCAATAAATGGCTTAAAAAGACATGGCAAGGTCTAAGTTTTTTTATTATTTAATTTTCAAAAATTTTCAAATTTTTTAAGACGGACCAAGCCGGGCTTGCAATTTTTTTTCGAACGGGTCGGCCCGGCTTGTGAAATAAGCACGGTCCGGATTATTTTTCACCTCTACCGTGCCTTACCCTACCCTACCCTGACTTATTTTACCCTACCCGACCCTAAGTTATTTTACGCGGCATTGTTATATTATTTTGATATTCTTCACGTTACAAACCACTAATCCTTAACTTTTTTTCTTTCAGTAATGTCAGGTTGTGAGATGTCAGAAGCAGGACGGCAGAAATTCCTGGCCAAGGCGAACGCCGTTTACTCGCGAAAACCGAACAACACATGTGTCATAAACAAATACGAATACGTCCGGCGTGTGCAACGGCTTCTGGCCATAGCCAATGGTGAGCCCAAGGTGCAGCAGGATCAACGACTTCTGAAGAATTGCTGTTTGGTCACTGATCCGAATGATCCCGGCAACCCCAAGTTGTGCAAAGCAAACACTACGTTGGCTTATGTTGCTATGGAGGACATGTACGACATTCTGCATAGGTAAGGCTTGAAAACGATGAACTTAAGACTATAGTGAAGGTAGTACAAAGCTTTCTTACAAAGACTATACAGGTCCAGAGGCTTAGGCTTAGGATTGGTTGGCTTAGGCTTAGTAAGCTTAGACTTAGTAGGCTTAGGCTTAGTAGGCTTAGGTTTAGTAGGCTTAGGCTTAGTAGGCTTAGGCTTAGTAGGCTTAGGCTTAGTAGGCTTAGGCTTATTAGTCTTAGGCTTAGTAGGCTTAGGCTTAGTAGGTTTAGGCTCAGTTGGCTTAGGCTTAGTAGGCTTAGGCTTAGTAGGCTTAGGCTCAGTGAGCTTAGGATTACTATACACAGGCTTAGCACGCTTAGGCTTAGTAAGATATGGTTTAAAGGGCAAGTACTCAACGAGACTTAAGTTTACGGAGCCTTCATCATACTAAGCGGAAGCTTTTTAAACCCAAACCGACTAGGCCTAATTTTTTTTCTTATTTGTCTTTAAACTAAAATTTTTTCAGTGTCCATCTTCAACTAAATCACGCCGGTCGCAATTGCATGCAGCGCTTCGTTCGTACACGCTACTGTAATGTCTCCAAAGATTGTATCATGATGTTTCTGACAACTTGTGATAACTGCCCGAGGCAACGCAGAATGAATGGAGTTACGAAGAAGCAATTGATGACACTACAAGGATTTTTGTCTGGAGATGAGGACGACGACATGGATGATATGGAGGATGATAAGGAGATTTCTATGGCGTCGACTAGTGCTGGAGCTAATGCTAGTGTTGTTTCGACTACTCCGTTGAACATGAACTTTCCCAAAAAGGATTCGGATTCTTTTGCTAGGGGGCAGGTATGCTTTTTAAATTTACATTACTTTAGATTACCTTACTTCACTTTACTTTACTCTATAATACACTTGCCTTGCCTGCTATTGCGTTTGCCTGTGCCTTGCCTGTGCCTTGCCTGTGCTTTGCCTGTGCCTTTCCTGTGCCTTTCCTGTGCCTTGCTTGTGCTTTGCCTGTGCCTTGCCTGTGCCTAGCCTGTGCCTTGCCTGTGCCTTGCCTATGCCTTACCTTGCCCAGCTGTGCTTAGCCTAGCTTTGCTCTGCTGTGCCGTGACCTGCTTATCTTGTTCTACCCTACTTTGCCTTGGCTTGCTTTGCTCTGCCCTGCCCAGCCCTACTCTGCCTTTCCCTATTTCTCACTACTCTGCCGGGGCCTACCCTGCCGTGTCCTGCCCTATCCTACTTTACCCTATTATACCTTGCCTTGTGCTGGCTTTCCTGTCTTCTCCCTACTTTGCTATGCCTTGGCGTGTCTTTGATTTGCTTTGCCTTGCTTTATTTACCCTACCTAATCCTACTCCACTCTACCCTACCCTAACAAAGACTAAGCATTTTCTTTCCAGTTCGAAGTGTTCAACATGAACGACCAACCGGACGGTGTTTACCACGCCTTCCTCCGTTATGTCAACCTTCAAACGCGAGAAGTCCGTCTACGCCCATTAATAATGGATACCGTGGACAAGATCGCAGACTCATTGATTGATATCTTCTGTGATCAAGGCGCACCAGTAGTACTACAATCTCGAAATGGCAGACAAACCGTGAAGAACGTAGTCAAGGAGATCAACAAGATCCTACCACAATGTCGCCTACTAGACGGTAGTGTTCAAAATGCGGCCGAACCGGCCGAAATTATATCTAGCCAGTTGAACGAGTTAATGCGACGACATGGCCACAACAACTGGGCCAAGATGTTGAGGATATTGCAGTTCGAGCTGAATTCAACCAAGAATGCGAGCGGATTCTCGCCCTTTGAAGTCATGTACGGTAGACAACCATCTATGGGACTGAAGTCATCAAAGTTGCTGGATGCCATTTATGAAAAGACCCAGTCGGAAGAAGAGATTATGGAGTATCTACAGGACGCGGAACTGGTCAGAATGTCAGTGTTTTGTCAACAAGCTCCGACACTGAATGAACGAAAGACGGTACCTACAAGCAGTGTGAGATCGGTTTATGATGAACAGATCGTTTTCAATAACCATTACTCTCCGATCAACTCACAAAGCAACATCCAAAGCAGTCCAGTCATCAATCAGTTCGATATTGTGGTAGGTTTTTTAATCCTTTTTAGTCGATGTTTGTAGTAGGGTTCGTAGGGCAAGGTAGTGTAGTTTATGGTAGGGTACTGTAGGATAAGGTACGGAGAAGCAGAGTAAGGCAGAGCACGGTACGGCATGTCTCAGGTAGGGTATTTTATGGTAGTGTAGAGCAGAGCAAACTAGGGTAAGGAAGTGCAAGGCAAGGAAGGTCAGGGCAAAGCAGGGCATGGTATGATTTGGTATAGTAGGTTTCAGTCGGGTAGCGTAAGGTCTTGTAAGGTAGGAGAATGTAGATTACGGTATGGTAGGATAGGATAGCGTATGGTAGGGTATTGTAGGGTATGGTATTGTAGGGTAGGGTACGGTAGGGTAGGGTAGGATAGGGTAAGATATAGTACGGTAGAGTAAGGCAAGGTACGGTAGGGAAAGATACGCCAAGTAGTGTAAAATACGGTATTTTTAAACATTTTTCTTACTGTAAAAATTTCAGTCGATTGCCCAAAATTCCACTCCAACCAGCTCAGCCCACTACACTCACCCCCACACTCCAATAACCTCTCATCAAGCAACGCCGCAACCTCAGCAACCTCAGCAACAACATCTACAGCAGTCTCAACAACCCCAAAACAATCCACCACCACAACCCACTCATGAACAACATTATCAACACGCTCAAACTCAGAATGGTACACAGCAAATGCACCAAACTCAACCTGGAACTCAACAGTTCGCCGAGCACCAAACTCAAAATGGTACTTCACAGTTTGCCGAGCATCAGAATCAGAACATTATGTACAATGATCCACCCCCAAACGACATAATTATCAAACCAGAGGGCATGAGCACTCAACAACAACATGATATTATTGTTCAACAACAGATGAATTGCTGAGGTTGTCAGTATCAATACTTCACTTAAGCTTTTATATTATTGTAATTCAATATCAGTTGTTATTGTTATATTATTGTAGTAAATGATAACTATAGTAAGTCTACATATAAAAAGTTTATGTTTGCTAAGCCTAAGATTGCTCACCTTACGGTTATTGAGCTTAAGATTACCAAGTCTAAGCCTAAACAAATTAAACCTAAGGTTACTAAGCTCAAGCCTACTAAGCCTAAGCCTACTAAGCCTAAGCCTACTAAGCCTAAGCCTACTAAGCCTAAGCTTACTAAGCCTAATAGGCCTAAGCCTACTAAGCCTAAGCCTACTAAACTTAAGCCTACTAAGCCTAAGCCTACTAAACCTAAGCCTACTAAGCCTAAGCTTACTAAGCCTAAGCCAAATAGGCTTAAACCTACTAAGCCTATAAGCCTACTAAGTCTAAGCCTACTAAAATAAATTTTTTTTAATAATTAAAAAAATTTTTAAACTTTTAGCCTATTATCATCATGTCTGCTCTTTAATTACATATTCCCAATGTAACGCGGAACACCAAAACATATTCGAAGATTTCATTGAAGGGCTTCTGTTACTATGGATTTTGATGAAATTTCAGGTGTAAATATATAACTATGTACAAGATGTGTCTTGAAAATTTGTTTTAAACTTTATTTTACTTTAATTCGCTCGGTAAACATCAGAGTGCAATTCATTGGGGTATTGTAACTAACTGTTAAGCCTAGTGTAATATCCAAGTTGATGAAGAAGAATGATCCGTTTTGGAAGTGCGCTTGTGGCTTTACAGTACACGTAAGTTTACCGTAGTTTAGTGTAAACGTAATTACCCTACCCTACCCTACCCTACCCTACCCTACCCTACCCTACCCTACCCTACCCTACCCTACCCTACCCTACCCTACCTTACCCTACCCTACCTTACCCTACCCTACCCTACCCTACCCTACCCTACCCTACCCTACCCTACCCTACCCTACCCTACCCTACCCTACCCTACCCTACCTTACCCTACTCTATCCTATCCTACCCTACCCTACCCTGCCCTACCGTACCCTATCCTACCCTACCTTGCCCTATCCTATCTTACTCACACTATCACAAAGATAGTACATACTGTAAGTCTTACTGTAGCATTATAAAGTAAAATATTTTAAGAATGCTATGTTCTTTGTGTCATTTGTGGGCATTGTCATCAGTGTAGCCAGCGTGGTAATCGGTATTATGTCGAAAAACTACTCTGATGCTGCTTTGAATGTGATTTCCTTAATCACGTACTTTTTGGTGTTTTTGGCTAGACTACTGCACAAACCATGGTTATATCTGCCACTAATTGTATTTCATGTAAGTTCAGTCTACTATAACTAAGCCTAAGATTATTTTTTTTAAAATCTATGTTTGCTAAGCTTAAAAATACTAATTTTAAGTCTATTGCAATTAAATCTACTAAGTTTAAGCCTAAGCTTTGTGAACCTACAAAAAAAAATGCTCAATAAGTCTAAACTTTCTAAGCCTAACTCTTTTAAGCTTAAGCTCTCTGGGGTTAAGCCTACCAAACCAAGGCTTATTATATCTAAGCCTAAGCCTACCAAGTCTAAGTTTACTAAGCCTAAGCCTACCAAGTCTAAGTTTACCAAGTCTGAGCCTACTAAGCCTAAGCCTACTAAGCCTAAGCCTACTAAGCCTACTAAGCCTACTAAGCCTAAGCCTACTAAGTCTAAGCCTGCTAAGCCTAAACCTACCAAGCCTAAGCTTACTAACCCTAAGCTTACTAAGCCTAAGCCTACCAAGCCTAAGCCTACTAAGTCTAAGCCTACTAAGCCTAAGCCTACTAAACCTAAGCCTACTAAGCCTAAGCCTACTAAGTCTAAGCCTGCTAAGCCTAAACCTACCAAGCCTAAGCCTACTAACCTTAAGCTTACTAAGCCTAAGCCTACTAAGCCTAAGCCTACCAAGCCTAAGCCTACTAAGCCTAAGCCTACTAAGCCTAAGCCTACTAAGCCTAAGCCTACTAAACCTAAGCCTACTAAGCCTAAGCCTACTAAGCCTAAGCCTACTAAGCCTAAGCCTACTAAGCCTAAGCCTACTAAGCCTAAGTCTACAAAGATTGAGTTCACTGAGTCTAAGCTTGCTAAGCCTATGTCCACTAACTTTAAGTCCATTAAGCCTAAGTTTACTAAGCCTAAACCTACAAATCCTAAGTCATTTGAGGTTAAGCCTAGTAAGCCGATGCCCAATCTGTTTGAGCAACGTTTTCTAAGCCTAAGATGAACACAGCCCAGCCTACTAAACCTAAGTCATTAAGCTCTAGATCATTATGTTAAGGTCTATCATCATCTTATCTAAAATAATGTTACTACAAATTTCAGTCCGCATCGGAAGTAGTAGCTGTACTACTAGCCATTTTGAAGCTGTTGATCTACTTCAACTTTGTCAAAGCGGCTCAATTTGCTTGGGTTGAGGCTTTGTGGTTCAACCTGGACCCAACCTTAATGACAGCCATCTTTTGTATCTTTGGCGTTTTCGACTGCCTACTCCAAATGTACTTTATCACCTTGGCATGGAGAGCATATCTATTCATGAAGAAGTTCATCGTTACAGAATACAAAACCACCGTGGCTACAATTCAAAGCTTTCATCATAAAAAGTAGTGCAAGACATTGCATTTTACTGTATTGTAGTTTAAATTATTGTACTTTATTAAATTATGACCCGGTAAATTGTAATGTTAATAAAAGTTTTGTAATTATTAGACTGTGCCAGACTTTGCAAACTTAAAATCAAATCTAAGCCTAACTATACGAATCCAAAATTTACTAAGCGTAAGCCTATTAAGCCTAAGCTTACTGCTTCTAAGCTTACTTAGCCTAAGCTTAATAAGCCTAAGCCTACTAAGCCTAAGCCGACTCAGTCTGAGACTTGTAAATTAAAGCCTACTAAGTTTAAAGCCTACTAAACCTAAGCCTACTAAGCCTAAGCCTACTAAGCCTTAGCTTACTAAGCCTAAGCCTACTAAGCCTAAGCCTAAGCATAAGGCAAAGCCTAAGCCTAAGCCTAAGCCTAAGCCTAAGCCTAAGCCTATCAATCCCATTACAACTAAGTTTTATGCTTTATAAGACTGAGCCTACTAAAGCTTAGCTTAAACTTACTCTTAAGCTAAAGCTTTTGCTAATCAAACCTAAGTTTACCAAGCTTAAGCCTATTAAGCTTATCCTACTTATTTTAAGCCTAATAAGTCTAAACGTACTACATTTCTAGAGATCTTTTAAATTTTTTAACAGTTTTGTGCTACACATATGTTATGTGCCTACACATTAAGGTAGGTGTATAAACCCGAAATTCTCATAGTAAAGATCCACGTTCTTGCAATTGAGTACGTTTTCTCAACGTTCTCAAACATTTCAATGTTTCGTTGTTAATTCATTCGAAACGAACACTCAGTTATTATACGTTTTAATTTTACTCAGTAATATAATTTTTGTATAGTACATCATTTTTCTGCTATCTAGGCTTTTATGATATTATACAAGGTAAAACTAGTATATGTAGAACCAACCATAATACAACATAATATGTCAAATATTACTACAATTATTACTACAACTATGGCTACAACCACTGCCAGTTTGGCTAACCTTACTATGCCTGAATATGTAAGTTGAGATTACTGTAACGTAATGCGTTTTACATCACATCTTTTTTATAAAATAGATATTGATTTTTTTATAAAACAGATATCGAAAATTAGACTTCTATGTGTACTACTAAGCCTAAGCGTACTATTATAATTTATATTTAGGTATACATGACATACAACGGTAAAGGCCCCAATATTCGACTATTTGCTCCAAGTGTAATATTATTTACTATAATGATATTTGGTTATTTTTCGAATACATTGGTTATTGTGGCTACAATTAAAAATAAGTAAGTAGCCTAATATATTAAGCCAGGTTAGTCTAAGTCTAAGCTGAGCTTAGGCTTTTCAATAAGCCTTAACTGATTTTAAGTCTTACTGCAAAACATACGCTAAGCTTTATTTTGAATTTAAACTTACTGTGAACCCTATCTCTTGGGTCTTATTCTTAGGCTTTAAACTTAAGCCTTATTTTTATCTTTAGCTTACCTTAAAAGCCTACTGTAGCTCCTATACTAGTCTAGGCTAAAGCTTAACTTATGAACTACCCTAGTTCTTACTACGGTACCCATAAGTTGACCTTTTTATATCATAAATGTCTATTTACAATAAAACTGGCAGGGTTTAAAAGTACCGTTTTCCACACGCCACACTAACCTTCTAATCTCTTTCAACGCATTAGATAAAGTTCTTTCATTTACAATTGTTAGGCAAAAAAAGGCCAGAGGGCGTTCTCTATGCATTTTTTTACCTCTAATATCTCGCTAGCCAAATTTTTTTTAGCAGTTTTTGAAAAATGGTTTTTGGTAACTTTTTATCTTCTTTCATTCTTCATAGGTCTTGATCTAAAACCGGAGGATTATTAGTGCCATTTTCTTTAGTGTCGGGTTTTAAAACCTAATGTCGCCCAATTCCAGAAACCTCCACGGTTCCTGTAACTTCTTCCTAGCTTGTGGCTGCTTCACTGACATCTGTCACACCTCAGCCCATTGGGTCTACATGATAACTACAGTATCCGGAATCAATTTCATACCGTTTTCGCTATGTTTGTGGACTCAAACTATACCTCAGTTTTGTGTCACTGGTAGTATCATTATGACATTGTGCGTTGGAATCGACCGGTTGTTGTCGGTTAGCATGCCAGTGTCATATGGACGTACTGACAAGAGATTGGTTTGTGCTGGAGGGGTTACTGTAGCACTGTTGCTGGGAAGCTATTTTTATGTTGTTTCGGTTTTGTTTGCCATTTCTGACCAGGGCAACACGTAAGTTTGTAATACGATTGGCTTTAAAGTAGACTTAAACTTAGGCTGAATCGAAAAAAGCTTGGACTGAATGGGTTTAAACTTGAAGTTAGATTTAATCATAGGCATAAACATAAGTATAATCTTGAGCGCGGGCTTGGGTTTGAGCTCAGACTTAGGCTTAAGTTTAGGCTTAGGCGTAGACTTATGTTTAGACTTAGGTTTAGGTTTATGTTTAGACTTAGACTTAGGTTTAGGTTTATGTTTAGACTTAGACTTAGGTTTAGGTTTAAGCTTAGGCTTTAATTTAGGCTTGGGCTTAAACTTAGGCTTAGGCTTACAATTAGGCTTAGGCTTAGATTAAAGATAAAACTACGTTTTAGGCTTACGCTTTGCTCTAACCTTAGTTTTAAGCTTATCTTTAGCTTTAGTCCAAGCCAGTTCAAGCTTAGATTTGAACTTTTTAGACTTATGCTTAGACTTAAATGGAGGCTTATGCTAACTATAAGTTAAATACTAGAGTTACGTTTAGGTTTAGTAGACTGTTAACAACAAAACTTATTATTTTCAGCCCAGTTCTATGCGTTATAGTCAACAGTCTGAGCCCTGTAGCTCAATCTGAATGGTTTGCTTTTTGTGTAGCGGTGAACGTGCTCGACCTCATCGTATACACTACAGTATGGCTGTTTCTGCGATTCAGAGCTGGAATGTCAGATGAAAGCAAAAAAGTCTTTAAATCTTTATTTGTCATCATGTTGACAGTAGCCTTCGGATGGTTAGCTAATGCGTTTGTACAAGCTGTCATTGTACCACCGTTTGTACCAGTCGATGCTCAAATGGATGTGATGTGCTACTGGGGTATTCCGGTGAACTTGGCTAGTGCTTCTGGTGCACTGACATTGTACTTGTTCAGGTAGGGTGGGGTAGGGTAGGGTAGGGTAGGGTAGGGTAGGGTAGGGTAGGGTAAGGTAAGGTAGGGTAGGGTAGGGTAGAGTAGGGTAGGGTAAAGTAGGGTAGGGTAGGGTAGGGTAGGGTAGGGTAGGGTAGGGTAGGGTAGGATAGGGTACGGTAGGGTAGGGTAGGGTAGGGTAGGGTAGGGTAGGGTAGGGTAGGGTAGAAATTATTTTTTTTAGATTTGTCGTTTTAGTAAAGAGTACCGTGACACCTTCCGAAGGCTTCTGGGGCTTCCAGAATTGAAAATAAAGAATGCTCAAGCTTTCACAACACCTTCAGTCGCCAAGTCATCTAAATCATAGTGCTAAATTTTTAAATATAATGTGTACCATACTTTGCTTTTAAAGACTCATATTTTTAAAAGTAGTTGTTAGTACTGTATTGCATCTAGAAGCTACTATATAGAACTACAAGGCCACATGTTAAAAGCACCTATTACAGTACTCCAACGAACGTACTGCACAATTAAACGTTTGAATTACACATTTGAACAACGTGCTGTTTCCCATAAACTAAAAAACCGGAAATGGTAGTTCAAGGTATAATAAAATTATGAAGGTAAGGTTCTCATAGTACTCTTCTCAACAAGCCAAATGGTAAACAAAAACATACTTTGTTCAAAAATGGCAAATCGGTTGCTTTGCTTACACAGGCTTCCGACTACGGCCTGAAGTCTTGAGGAGCACCTCATCACGACTCGGTAGCTCGAGAAACAGGATCACCTGGATGAGGCCCATTTGGGAACAGCTACAACGGATTGCTCTGACGGTCTTCACCACACCCTCATCATCCCCCCTCAAGTCTTATATATCTTTCGTTGAAAAAGGGAATACTCTGTTCAAAAACAATTAAAATTTTTTTTTAAAGTGTGAACTAAACCTGAAAAAAGGCCTAATATACTGAGCCTTAAAAAAGCCGGCACCAGCTTACAATCCCAACGTATAGGCACAACCTGTTTTCATGTTTTCTCACATTAAGCCCGATTTGGTCGAAAAACGTTAGCCTAGCCTAGCTCGTTTCATCAAAATTTTAAATTTTTAAATTTAAAAAGTAACAAAAAATGGCATGTGCTTATTTTTTTAGCCCGGAAAAACCCAACTTTTAAGCCCAACCCGTTGGAACATTAGCTCAAGGCCGGCTCGGTCAGGTCGTAAAGACAGTTTTAAATTTGGCCCGTGTCTTACCTGAGCAGGTCGGACTGAAACATATCTAAGAAGGACTAGGCCAGCAAATTAAGGTCGTTTTTTCAAGCTGAATAATTGAGCCCAGCCCGACTTCTTTGGAGATGTAATGGAAACAGAAGCTGATATCAAAACATTTAAAAAAATTTTTAAAAGCGTCATGAAAAGTATAGGTTTTACTACGTAAAGATCAAATTATCATGTTTTTTTAAGAAATAAATCTATAAAAACCATAAAGCATAAGCCTACTAAACCCACTAAGCATAAGCTCACTAAGATTAAGCCTACTAAGCCTAAGCCTACTAAGCTTAAGCTTACTAAACCTAACTCTACTAAAAAGGAAAGTACCCGATCTGCCGCTCAGAATCAGCTCAAAATTTTTAAATGAATTCTTTGTACCACCAATAGTACCCATAAAAAACTTTAGCTTGCGCTTTTGAGTTTTAAATTTAAATTATTTGGAATTTCCGCCAATTTGGCAAATTTGGCATTGTGTTTCAAGCACTTTTTTCGGCTTTCCAGACAAGGTACGCTTACAAATTTAAAAATGTAGGTTCATTTAAAGGTATTCTACTAGTATATCAAAAAAATTATTAAAAGTCAAAAAATGACAAAGTTACAAGCTTGAAACACAATGCCAAGTTGGCGCAAAATTCAAAATGTCATTTTTTAATCTCGATTTTCTCGAGATTTCCTGGAAAGCGCGATTTAGTACTTTGCTGAAGATGTTATATTTACATGATCATTCTTCATAAAAAGTTTGAAGTCAATCAGAGCGGGGCAGGTCGGGCACTTTCCTTGTAAGCCTAAGCCTACTAAGCCTAAGCTTAATAAACCTAAGTATACTTAGTCTAAGCCTACTAAACTATAGCCGGAAAATCTTTTTTATTTAGTACGTTTTTTGTCTGTTTTTCAATTCAACTAGCCAAACGAGCAGTTGAATTGAGCAAACAAACGCTTTTCACGTTTCAAACAATTCGATTCAATTTGGAAGTCAATTGGCTCACTTTTGGTATTAAAAATTACTACTTCAAGGTCTAAACGGCTTGATTTCTTTCATAACTTTAATAATATCTTTTTTTGTTCTTTTTTTTCGTTTTTTATTTGATTTTAGGCTTAAAAAATCTTTTGTTAGGTTTGAAATGTCATTTTTTGATAGGCTTAAATTTTGAAATTTTGAGTTTAGGCTTAAATTTTTTAAAATTAAAAAATTTTGATTAAGCTTATGCTTACTATTTTTGAAAAAAAAATAAAAAACGATATTAGAAAACAATTTATACTCGTTAGACTAGAGCGCAATGACCTAAAAGACGAGCAAACAAATTTTTTATTTCCGAAAAGAAAGGTAAATTACTTTCCAAGTTTATTCTTGTGTTCGACTTTCTACAGAGCAAAAGTACGACTATACAATGTAATATGAAGAAGATGGGGTAAAGCTGAGACATAGGTAGTAAAACCAATAAAAAGTATGGTAAGGCTAAGGAAAAAGTAAGGCTAAGGGTAAACTATAGGCTAAGACGCGAGCTAGAGCTAGAGCAAAAGCTAGAGAAAAAGCTAGAGCTAGAGCTGGAGCTAGAGCTAGAGCTAGAGCTAGAGCTGGAGCTAGTGCTAGAGCTAGAGCTAGAGCTAGAGCTGGAGCTGGAGCTGGAGCTGAAGCTGAAGCTGAAGCTAGAGCTAAAGACAAGGCTATTACAGCGCTAGGGCCTCTGGGCTAGGGCTCTGGGCTAGGACTAGGGCCAGTAAATAAGCGAATTTATTCAGTCTTACCAATATTAGTCACGTATTTTGGCTAAACGTGCACGTTTCCTCGCTTTTTGCTTCGAAATTTTGGTCCATTTCGAATAAAAATATTGCGCGACAACCGGTTTTTCATGCGCGGCTGAATCGCTTTGGACTGGTCACTTTTCGAGTGTTAAAACAGGAACAAAACACTATTGTTAAGAGAGCGGCTTCAGGGGAGCGTTCTGTTACTTTTGTGATTATTGTTTTAAACTGTTTAAACGGGTTCTTCTGTTGTAATGCCTTAGGGCTTTTGGGGAGAAATTGAGTTTTTAAAGTTTTTTTTGAGTTTTTTTTAGGAATTTTTTGACCGTTTTAGGCATGGCAAGTTTTTTTTGGGGGTTTTATAGGCTCGGGGGTAGATTTTGTTAAGAAAATGGCCTTTCGACCGTAGATATCGGTCGAAAAATTAAAATTTTTTGAAAATTTAAAAAAATTTATGTTAAATTTGCTTTCTTATACACAATTCTTTAAAAGTTTTTGATATTTTTCATTTTTAGGCTTATTTAAACCTAAAATAAAAAAAAATCATTCATTCATTCCTCCCCCCCCTCAAACTGCTCATTAATGTTCTCCAAATGTCAGCCCGACATTTTAAACTCAAAAGCTAAAAAACACTAAAAAACTATTGCTAAAAATCGCCTTTCTTCACGTCTCTCACCAATATCTTCACTATAATGACTCGAGGCGGATTTTCGCGCAACGAACAGCCGGTTTCCACCCAGTTTGTTGACTTTTCAAATCCATACAACTATTGTTCGGGGTTATCAACGGCTTCGTTTTTTGACAACGTGGCAGCTGCTTGAATTTCACGTATTTTGAGCTAGAATTCGAGCTGGTTTGGGCTTGGGGTGTTGTTTTAGAGAGCTGTTCATTATTTTTTGAATCTTATTTGAAAAATCAATTTTCTTAATTTTTAAATATTTTTTTGACATTTTCGAAGTTAAATAACTATAAATAGTCAAAATACGGCTAATTTGTTCGTATTTTACTAAATTTACACGTCAACTATAATATCATTTGGGTTCCGACACGAAAAATTTGCTTCGCCAATATTTTTTGGCATTCTGCAATAATTTAATTTTCATGAAATTTTGATATCGAATTTGATCTCCCCGCTTATTCCTCGCTTGAAACAATGTTAAACTAAACGTAACTGACTAGATTTGAATAAATTATTTTAATATTTATCAAATTTAAGGACTTGGAAGTTCACTTTAATGAAATCAGTGTAATATTGGGCAAAAAACGGGTAGCCAATCCAAATTGTGAAGAATAACGTAAGTTTTACTCCTTCTTCGGCTATGTTTTTACTTTCTTCTTTTAGGACAATGCAATTGTTGATATTAACATTGTTTTCAACGATATATGTTGTGTTTTCAAGTGGAGTTCAGTCGTTATACACGGAAAAGGACCATGTTCTTGAACTGGATGTGAACAACTTCAATTCTTCCGTATATCACCAACCCCGAGCCTTCTTCGTGGAGTTTTATGCTTCATGGTGTGGGCATTGTATTCATTATAAACCTACATGGGTCAAGTTTGCCACACAGTTGAGGCATTGGTCTAAGACGGTGCAGGTAACGGTGGTGAACTGTGCTGATGAGAAGAACAGTCCACTGTGCCGGGAACATGCGATTGCGGCTTTCCCAACTGTTAAGGTATGTTACTTTGTTTTGTTTTTGATGTTTAGAAGAAAGAGTTAACAAACTTGGTCTGGTTTTTGCTGTGTTACATCAATTTCCACATCACCTATCAAATAATATAAAAACTTAATTTTCAGTACTTCAAACTCAACAGCGCGTCAAAGGACGATGGTCAATTATACGAAGGAGACAAATATAATCTGCCAGACATGACGAGGTCAGTCGTTTCACATGTTAAAGCTGATTATGATAGTAATCATCCAGCTAATTGGCCAAAGTTGGATCTGTCTCCAGAATCGGCTATACTGGAGTCACTTTGGGCTGAAGCTGGTGTTGAAGCTGGTTTAATGGCGTTGGTTATTGATAACGAACCTTATGGAGATGGCTTTGCGGTAGGTGAAAAATTATGATGGATTTTTTGATGTTATAGTAGGTGGAGGTAGTGAATCACTAAAAATGACGTTTTACGTAAAGTTAGAGGTGGTTTTTTGGAAGATTAGGTATTATTTGAGAGAAAATGAAATTTTACATATTTTAAGGTAAGAATATAGAAACTTAAATCACTTTACATCAAGTTGTAATCAAAAGAAATCCATTTTAGACCAAGATCAACTATCAAAGCGCAGAACAAGTGTATGTAGCTGTAATATCCTCAAAGCACGCTTTGGCTACACAATTTGGAGGCGTAGCTGTCCCGTCAGTCCAGGTTTTTAAACGATCTCAGCCAAATTCACCAATTTATTCATCTAATGAAGCTTTCAACTTTGATAAGATATCCACTGAAATCGACCGGATTTTGGAGGAAAATGGTGCTCAACAGAAGGTAAAATACGATTTACGAAGAATTTGTCACAAATTTTTGTTAACTTTTTTGTTTTTGATGAAATTTGGGTATAAAAGTGGCATTAGTTATATTATGTTAAGTTGAGGTCAAGTGTAATATAATCTTTTATTAGTTTTTCACTGAAGTTTGGTATAATAGTGTACCAGTTGGCATTATAAGATATTATGAAGTCATTCCACATCAAAATCTCATTATTTCAGCCCCCAGCCCTAAACGCCGCGGCAGCAGCGGCCAGTCCAACAGTAAGCCCAGTGGTCGATTGGAAACAGTTCGAAGTTCAATACATGGACTTGGTATCCTCTTTACATTACATGTTGACACAAGAGATTCCACGAAGAGAAGTTATTGAAAAAGAGCATCTGAAGGCTTTGAAGGACTTTGTTCATGTCATGAGGAAGTACGTGCCATTATCAGCACCAGTCCGACGGCTTTTGCTCAGACTGGACGAGTATGTACAGCCAATCACTACAAGGTTGCTGGCTACTGAGTGGTTGGCTAAATTAAAGGAGATTCAGGTAAAATTCTTTTTTAAATTTAAAAAAAAATTTTGAAATTTTGAAAAAAAAATTTAATTTTAGAAATTTTCGAAAAATTCAATATTTAACTTTTTTGAAATTTTGAATTTTCAGGAAGAGCTAGGTCACCCAGTCCCAGCCAAGACCGATTACAAAGCCTGCCGCGGCTCTAAACCTTTCTTACGTGGTTATACCTGCGGCCTATGGACTCTCTTCCACACTATAACTGTAGAGGCTTATAAACAAAACAAGCACGGTAAGGCTATTGCTGGTTTTTGGGTACTGTAATTTTAATTGTTTTGAGTTTCTGTAATTTAGTTGGGTTGGGGTTACTGTACTTTTATTGGTTTCGGGTTACTGTAACTTTGTTTTTAGGGATTTAAACATTAAAAAATGTTGTTTGGCATTAGGTTTTTCTAGTTTTGATAGGGACAGGGTAAAAAATAACCTATAATAAGGTTTTTTATAAAATTTTTTATCGACCGGTCGATTTTACAAAAAAATTTTTCTTTGTAAAATTTTATTTTTAAAGGTCTATTTTTATGAAAACTAGGCCTAAGATTAGTTTTTTAATGTATTTTTAAGTTATCGACCGGTTGATTTTGCAAAAAAAATTTATAAGCCTAAAATTAGTCTTCTATATACTTTTAAATTATCGAACAGTCAATTTTGCAAAAAAAATTTTTTTTGTAAAAATGCATATAACGTATTTTACCATTTTACTACCTACAAGAAACAAAACAACAAAAACTTTGCTTTCAGACCCCAACTTCAAGCCAGGATACGACGTGTTAGAGCCCATCCACCAATTCATCTACAATTACCTCAGCTGTGTCGAATGCGCCAAAAACTTTGACAAAATGGCCCGAGGCGAGAATGGCGTGTTGGATCAGAAGAACCCGGAAGACGTCGTTCTTTGGCTGTGGAACGCTCACAACCGTGCCAACAAGCGATTGTCAGGAGATGCATCGGAAGACCCAATGTTCAAGAAGCAGCAATTCCCGAACAATGCATTATGTTTGGCATGTCACAAGCCGGATGGCAGCTTTGATCAGGCTGAAGTACTCAAGTTCATGGTGCAATACTTCTCGGACATCAAGGTCGATGGAGTTAGGGTTGGTTTTTTGGAAGGTTTTGGGCTTTAAGGGGTGTTTTTGTTGATTTTTGAGATATTTTGTTATAAATTGTGCAAAAGTAGGTTAAATTATATTGTAGTAGGTAATAAGGTATATTGTAGTAGGCAGTGCCGGGCGGGGACTTGTGGTCTGGGGGCGGGGGTCGAAAATATTTTTACCAAAAATCCACAGGGGGGACCACGTTAAACTTTTTTCGAATTTTTTTTTCAAAAAAAATTTTTTTAATTTTATTTTTAAGGAATAATACTGAGATTTGAAGCTAATGTCTTGTCGTTTTTCAGCCAGAACCAGGCTACAAAGTATCCGAATTCAATAATGGAAAACTGGAGAAAGTGGCCCAAAAACATTTGAATCCCAAATTCGCTGGAATGGCCGGCAAAGTGGACCGAATGGAAGAGACAGAGCGGAGATTGAATGAACAACTCAACGAATTACCTCAGGGTAAGAAATTTTAATTTTTTATAAGAATAAAATTTTTTCTAAAGTAAGCCTAAAAACAATTTTTGAAGCCTAAAATCAACTTATAAGCCTAAAATCTCTTTTTAAGCCTAAAGTTAATTTTTAAGCCTGAAAGTCAACTTTTAAGCTTAACATTAATTTGTGAGCCTAAAACCACTTTTTAAGCTTAAAAATTATCTTTTTAAGCCTAAAGTCAATTTTGAAGTTTAAAAAAATTTTTGATTTTAAAAATCTATTTCTAAGCTTCAAAGTTTAATTTTTAAGCCTAAAATTTCTTTTTAGACATAAACATAAACTTTTAAGCCTAAAATCAACTTCTAAGCTTAAAAGTCAGTTTTTAAATCTAAGCTTAATTTTAAAGCTTAAATTTTGGTTCTAAGCCTAAAAATGAACTTTTAAACCTAAAAATCAACTTTTAAGCCTAAAATTAACTTTCATGTTCAAAATTAATTTTTAAGCTTAAAACCACTTTTTAAGTTTAAAATTGAACTTTTAAGCCTAAAACCAACTTATAAGCCTAAATGCCAAATTTTAATTTTAAAATTAATTTTTAAGCCGAAAACCACTTTCTTAAGCTTACATACTCATTTTGAAGGCCAAAGCTTACATTTTAGAAAAAAATCTTAGAAAAACTATTTTTTTGAATTTCAATTTTTTTAGTCGCTTCCGCCGACCGCACAACGTTCTACCTGGTGTGGATGGTGATTGTGGCATTGTTAGCATTCGCTTACGTTAAATATCGACAGAATCGAGGCAAATTCTGGAAGACCTTCTACTACCACGACTACAAATTGTGATTTTTTATTTATTTTTTTAACTTTCAAATTTTAATACGTTTTGAGTCATTTTTTGCCTACGGAGGTGGTATTTATAACTTTTTTTTATTTTAAGAGGGGGGGGGTGTTTTTTTGAAAATTTTGATTTTTTTTTTATTTTTTGATTTTTGTACATATTTAGTGAATTTGGCAGTTTACAGTAATCTTTTTAGGCTAGGCTTTTAAAAAAGCTTTTTCTTTGCTTTGTTTTTATGTGAAATTACTGAAATGTAACGAGTATGGTTATTAGTTTCTTTATGTATTTGTGTTTGTACAAAGCTGGTTTAAACAACAGTTTAAAGGTTTTTTAAAATGATGTTATAATATAGATTGAACTAAAGTAGCGAGACACTTTCTATTTAATTTTTCAACTTAGATGTGTCTCGCTACTTTTGGTTCCACTTAATAGTAATGTAAATGACAATAGTAATGTGAGTGATAATAGTAACGGGTTACAATTACTTAACAATTCTTTCATTTTCTTTTTCTTTTCCATGGTGATTGTGAATTGTGTTTCTTCCGAATGTGATTTTGAATAAACGTTTTTTATGTCTGTCACTGTGGATTACAGTAAGCTGATTTGGAGGTTGAGTTATGACTTTGATAAGATTAGAGGTATACTGTAACTTTTCTTTATAAAAATTAGTTTTGTTACTGTAAACTGCCAGATTTAAGTTATGATAGGGTAGAAACGAATTGTTTTTAAATTAGGTTATAGAAGACGGAATTTTTAAAAAAAAATTTGGAAAAACATCCCCCAAAAATTTAAAAATTTTTTTTACTTCGCCTTTTTTGAAAACTTGATTTTTTACCAAATCATTGCCATTCTGACAAAAAAATTAATTTTTACTTTTTTTTAACCATCCCCCCCCCCTCTAAATTTTTTAAAAATTTTTTACCCCGCCTTAATTTTTATTAGTTTTATTTTTTACCCCACCCTAACTTAAAATATTTTCTATTTTTACTCCACAATAACTTAAAATACATTATTTTTAACCCACCTCAAAGTTTGTTACCCAAACTCTCTAACCCAACCTTAATTTAGACTGCCGTGGAGCAGGAACGCCAGCTCTAACCTGTCGAAATACGTGGTATAACACCAAAACTCTTCCTCTTCTCACTTTTGTTACCTAATCTTCTGTTTCATTTTTGCGGATAGGTAAAAGTTCGTTGTTGTTTTAGTGTAATCGACTATGATTCGGATTGTAGTCAACGATGATTCGAATGGATGATTAGATTATTATACTGGTACAAACTCACTATTTATTCAATTTCTTGTGATAATAAACTTTTTCACGGTTGGGGGTGGTTTTGAGGGTTAGGGAATGGTAAGGTAATGTTTGTTTGACAAGGTAATATATTGAGGAAAGGTAGAGTATGGTAGGGCCGAGTATGTTAGGGTAGGGTACTGTATGGTAGAGTAAGGTAGAGTACGGTAGAGACTACGGTAGTACTCAAAATTGGATTTTAAAAAGGTGGCTACTAATCATAGCCCCCGGCCGCAGCCAGGGACGGGCGGGGACTTTTGGTTTGGGGCGAGGGCCGAAAAAATCCACAGGGGGGACCACGTTCTACTTTTTTCGAAAATTCTTTTCTGGGGGCCCGGCCCTGGCCGCAGCAACTTTGAAAAAACCCGGACCGGGCCAACAAACTTGAGATTAAAGGCTACGGTTTAGTCCAGTCAAAGCTTTTAAGGCTAAAACTGTTAGTATTATAATGCTAGAGTTATGGCTAATGTTAAGGGTAAGACTTAGGCTAACCTCCCCCCTCCCCTCCTAATTATAAATTTTTTGCACTTGGGCTAGGCAAGCCAACCTTTTTCGCAATGTTAACGTACATTTTAGACTTAAAATTGTCATTTTTGATTAAAATTCCAAAAGTATTCATACTTCTGCCAATCTTTAAATTAGAAAGTAAACGGATGGAATGTTAAGTAGGCTTGGAATGATGATATGTTGACATACGTGAATTTTGTAGGGTCAAAATTGGGTTTTTTAATTTTTGGGGGATTGGCAGGGCAATTTTTCAACTTTTTCTTTCGTTTTTATACCCTACCCGGTATTCTACTCTTTACTTTACTGTATACGATCAGTCCTATCTGGTCTAACCTACCTTACATTACTACGCGCCTTCTTCCCCTTCCCCCCTTTCCCCTTCACGCGCTTTAACCCTCCCCCCCCTCTCATAGATTACCCAACTTTACCCTGCCTTAGCATTATCTATTCCCCACCCCTGCCAATATCGAACTCAACAAACAAAGTGCTTTCGAAGAGTATAAACACCAACTTTATGGTAATATTTCCGGTTCGGGGCGATTGACTGCTTGAGGTCATGAATTGAAAAAAAGGAAATTGAAGCCAAGGAAAGTGGCATTGTTTAGGGCATTCAGAGCTCCATTTTTTCGAATTTTAAACTTTTTGACCAGACTAACGGTCAAAATGGTCGGGTGGGGTAAGATAAAGTGGGGTAGGGTAATGTAATGTAGGATGAGGTGGAGTAGGTTAAGAAAATGTCGGATAAGATAGAGTAGAGTAAGATAAATTAGGATAAGGTAGGATAGGACAATTTAGGGTAGGGTGGGTAAAACATTTGGAGGTCTGGGATGACAGAGTAAAGAAAAATTAAAAAAAACCAATACTATGTGGACGAAATGTAAATATATAGAGTGCGAGGCAGATTCAGGTACGCCAGAGCACGTCAGGCCTTAGGCTTAGACATCGGCTGTGGCTTATACTAGCGCTTAGGCTAGGGCTTAGGATACGGCTTAGGTTACGGCTTAGGCTACGGGTTAGGCTACGGCTTACGCTATGGATTAGGCTAGGCCTTAGGCTACGGCTTAGGCTAGTTCTTAGACTAGAACTTAGGCTAGGGCTTATGCTAGGGCTAAGGCTAAGGCTACGGCTTAGGCTACGGCTTAGGCTACGGCTTAGGCTACGGGTTAGGCTACGGGTTAGGCTACGGCTTAGGCTATGGCTTATGCTAGTTCTTAGGCTACGGCTTAGGCTAGGGCTTAGGCTAGGGCTTAGGCTAGGGCTTAGGCTAGGGCTTAGACTAGGGCTTTCGTAATAATAGGCACGTAATGCAAAAGCTGAGGTCAGCGTAAGCTCACGACAGAATACAGTATGCCAAAAGAAAACAACAAAATCTCTATTTTTAGCCAAAAATGTGACATTTCGGTCGATAAAAGTGCACAAAAAGGTGTTAAAAGCTATTTTCAAGGTCCAAAAACGAGTGTCAGATTTGTATATGTATGTCATGTTTGTCTATTTACACTCGGCTACACATCAATCTGGCATCGGGTTTCGTCCCCGCTTCGTCGAACCACAAACCCTCCCCCCTCCCCCCGCTCAATCCGAGCTTATCGTACAGTAAATAGGGTTTTGCATTTTTAAGACTGAGGGGGGGGGGTGTATTTTTAATTTGTAGTGTTTTTGTTAATTTTGGTCAATGATTGGTAAGAGGTTGGTCTGGGAATGCACTTTATAGTACTTTTGTGTGGTAGGCTTTCGTTTAGTAGGCTTAAGTTTGATAGGCTTGCGCTTAATAGGCTTAGGCTTAGTAGGCTTAGGCTTAGTAGGCTTAGGCTTAGTAGGTCTAGGCTTAGTAGGCTTAGGCTTAGCAGGCTTAGGCTCAGTAGGCTTGTATATTATTCAGTGCAGTTTTGTTTATAATTTTAGGCTTATTCAGAACAGTTTTGCAAAGCCTTATATATATCATCACTGAACCCATCTCTTAACAAACATACGTTGTCATGTCATAACCTCTGCAGTTATTAATAAACATGTCCATCATCTGCTACTACAAATACGTTCCTTTTTCGAATCCTACGCAAATATTTTTTTTCCAGCCGTAAACGTGCTGAAAACCAAAATACGATATTGATTAAAGGAACATTCCCTCAGGCAACGTTCTTTGTTTGTCACAATATTCTCACGCGCAAATTTTAATAAAGTTTTGATTAAAGATTATTTACATTAAACGAGCGCTTATTGAGACAAGTTGTGTGGTATGGAGTGGCAGGTTATTTTTTTGACTGAATTTTGCAAAATTTGAAAAAAAAATTTTAAATTGAAAAAGATTTAAATTTTAATTTTTGTAAGCTTGCTAGGCGACTAAGCCTACTAAGCCTAAGTTTAACAAGGCAAAACTTGCTTATACTAAGTTTACTATGCGTAAGCCTAATGAGCTTAAGTTTGTTGAGCCTAAACATATTAAGCCTAAGTTCACTAAGCCTAAGCTTACTAAGGCAAATCCTACTACGCTTAAGCTTGATAAACCTAAGCCGACTTAGCCTTACTCTACTAAGCCTATTTCCGCTAAGCCTAAGCCTACTAAGCCTAATCTTTCTAAGCCTTAGCTTACTAAGCCTAATAAGTATAATCTTACTAAACCTAAGCCTGCTAAGCCTAAGTCTACTAAGCCTAAACCTACTGAGCCCAAGCCTACTAAGCCGAATCCTTCTAAGCCCAAACCTACTAAGCCCAAGCCTACTAAGCCTAATCCTATTGCTTCACAAAACAACACATTGTTTGTATTATAATAAGCCGCAGTTTTTTATTCAGTAAGTTGTTTTGTTATTGTGGGTGTTTATTGTCTCCTTCGATGTTAGATTTTGTATATTTATAACGTTTGAATAAGTTTTGTGGAAAACCGGAAATGGAAATGCATTTGTGAATGTAAAATATATTATGGTAAGATTGACACTTTACAAAAAATATTAGGTTTAGGTTGAGCTTAGTAAATTAAGGCTTGATATGTGTTGGCTTACATTTAGAAAACTTAGAACTAGGACTTTAGGCATATGTTACAGCTTAGACTAGCGCTTAGTTTCAAGCTTAGGCTTATGATGAGGTTTAAGCTTACTATTAGACTTTCTCTTGGTTTTAGGCTTAGCAGGCTTAGGCTTAGTAGGCTTTGGCTTAGTAATCTTAGTCTTGTTAGGTTAAGTTGTAGTAGGCTTAGGCTTAGTAAGCGTAGGGTTAAGTTTAGTAGTCTTGTTCTTAGTAACCTTAGGCTTATGAGACCTAAGTTTAGTAGGTTTAGTCCCGGTACGCGCAAACTTAGTAAGATTACGTTCAGTAATCTTAAGCTTAGCAGGCTTATTCTTAGTAAGCTTAGGCTTATTAGACTTAAGTAGGCTTAGGTTTAATACGTTTAGATTTTTTAGGCTTAGACTTAAAGGCTTAGTAGGGTTTGTTTTAATTTGATTCTTGTTCTTAGGTTTTGGTTTAAGCTTAGTCTTGTGCTTAAGCTTAGGCTTCTATTTTGTATTATGCTTGCGCTTAGGCTTTGTATTATGCTTGCGTTTAAGCCTAATATAAGGCAAAACTTTACTTTAAAATTTAGTATGCTTATTACAAGTTTCAGTTTTTTGTAATTTCAGGTATTTTTAGGCTTAATAGGCTTTTTTTAGGCTTAACATTTGAGTTAGTCCAGAAATCAAAATTTATGTGGAAAGTCTACTTCGAATAAACCCACCTGAAGGAAACTGGACAGATGTGGCGTTGAAGCTAAGAGAAGTAACGGCGGCTACAAAAGTGGAAGAAAAAGTGAGGGAAGATTCAGAAGGCCAAGTGATCAGAGAAGCCAGACTCAGAAGAAGAATGATTAAGGAGAGATTTAACAGGGGAGATGAATCCCTTGAAGCCTTAAAAGAGGCTAGCAAGTCAATTAGAGAGATGATGGAGGCAAAGATGAGAAGAAGACGGGAGGAAACACTGATTAGAGCCTTGGAAACAGGAAAGTTGAAGAAAGGAGCCAGAAGCATGACGAAGATGGAAGAAGAAGAAGGAATTATAGATGAGGAAGGAAGGGAAGTCTGGTTAGACAAAGAAAAAGCTGAAGTTATAGCAAATTATCTTGGTAAGATATACAAATCGAGATCGGAGAGAAAGCCAGCTGAGCCAGAAGCTAAATCAGAAGTTGACGAAGAGTGGATAACAGAGGAGGAAGTTAGATGGGCGGCCTCAAAGATACGGAGCGGAGCAGCATCTGGACATGACCTAATTCACAGTGCAGTTGTGAAGTTTGGAACAGATGTTATCGTGAAACAACTCCGAGATAGCATCAACAATATGTTTAACACCGGAGAATTCCCGTAAGAAGTGGTTGTGGCGAAAACCATCATGCTAAAGAAGAAGAAGAACATCAGAACTTTGGACAATCTGAGGCCGATAAGTCTGCTAGGACCAATTTACAAATTGATCTCTAGGCTATCAATTGGATGCTTATCAGTAGTACCAGCCAGTACATCAGCACAGAACAAGCTGCATTCAGGAAGGGATGGTCAACCGTTGATTACTTAGCAAGTATAAACCTGCTGATAGAGAAGGCAAACGAATAGAGAAGGCCGATGATAGTAGTTTTCATCGACTGCACAAAAGCCTTCGACACTGTAGAGCACGAAGCTATCTGGAAAGCGCTTGAAGAGGCTGGAGCTGATCACAAAACAATAAAAATGATTAGGATACTGTACCAAAACGCAAAGTCCTATGTACAAATAGGAAAAGAGAAGGCTGAATACAAAGTTCACCGTGGAGTACGTCAAGGAGACGTTATGTCACCCACCATTTTCAACTTAGTGATGCAGATGGCTCTAAACCAGATAGTATGGTCTGGAGGTATCGAACTGGAGGATGGAGGAAGGAGGTTAAATCACCAAATGATGTAGCCGAGGCTGAAGCAAACCTGGAGAAAGTGGAGAAGAAACTGAGAGAAATGGGACTAGAACTGAATAAAAAGAAGACGAAATGGATGGGCAGTACAGGAATAGACCGAGACCAATCTCTAGGTCTTGGAGGTGAGTCTATCGAAAGAGTGGCTGCCTTTATATACCTCGGTTCAGAGATCAGTTTCCCAAGGAATCCAGAATTCGAAGTGGGAGCACGAGCAAGAATGGCATGGTCAACTTTCCAAAGATGGAGAGAAGTACTAACCAGTCCAAGGACCAGACTACGACTCAAGCGGAAGTTCTACATGACTTGCCTGTTACCTACAATAACTTATGGAGCCGAGTGCTGGAGTCTCACAGTGAAAGCCAGATGGAAGTTGATTAGAACGGTCAGAAAGATGGAAAGAATGATGTTGGGAATAACATGGAGAGATAAAAGAAGAAGTGCTGAGATCAGAAGAAGGACGGGACTCAAGAGCGCCAGTCTTGTAGCGACTGAGAAGAAGTGGAACTGTGCTTGGAAGATGTTGACAGCACAAGATGAACGATGGATAAAGAAGATCATAATGTGGATCCCCCCCAGGCAAGAGACCCGTTGGAAGACCGAGACTACGATGGACAGACGAATTTAGAAAGACAATTGGACATAATTGGATGGAGACGCAAGATCCTAACACATGGCAATCCGGTATGAGAACCTACATCAGTTCTAGTGAATACAATATATTCTGATCAATTCATAAGTTGTATTTTTACTTTGATAGAAAAGGTTAATAAACTGTAAACTGTACATATTTTATAGAATGTACTACTTTTAGTGTGCTATTACAAGTTTTACAGCCCTTTTTTATGTATTTTTAAATTGTAGACAAACGTTCGCTTTCAAAACTCTCGGAAATAGGTAATTTACCGGCCATTTAGAGTAGAAAATGCCATAATAACAACATTTGTACCTACAATTACCTAAAATGAGTGTTTTCATGAAGTTGTTGAAATAGAAATGGCAGTTCTTTTCTTAATTCTCAAGTTTTTTTCAAATTTTAAATTTGGGTAACATTTTTAAATTATAGGTAACAATTTCCAATTGTCATTGTTTATGAAACTTTTTGACATAAGGTATGTCAAAGAATGGCCATTCATTATATTTTTTCGTTTATTTGATTTGACACGACTTTTTCAAACTTAATGGCCTCAGGCGTTTTCCGTTCGAAAGTTCAGAAAACTAAACAAAAAGTTTATTTTAAGACCTTGGAATATGTGATTTGGCTTTGGAATGTGTTTGGGGCAAGGTATTTTATTCATTTTTGAAGTTTTTTTGTTGGGCGGGGTAAATTTTTTTGATGTTTTTTTTGAGGGTGGAGGAGTGTGGGAAGCGCTATTTTTTGTAAAAAACAAATTTTCAATTTCAGCTAAGGCTGGTTTTTACATTTTTTGAAAAAAAAATTTGGGCGGGGTAAATTTTTTTTATTTTTTATTAGGGGGGGTGTTTACAATGTTTTTCATGAAAACTGACTTTTTTGCTGTTTCTCTACATTTTTTTCGGATCTAAAATTTTTTTTTGTGTTGGGCGGTGTAAAAAATATGGGGTGGATAACTTTTTTTGTTGAAAAAATTTTTTGGTAACTTACGTAACATATGTCACAGCTGGTTAGTAGGAAATTTACGTAACATATGTCACAGCTAGTTAGTAGGACATTTGGACCCAGCTTAGGTTAACATATTTCAACTTTTTTCCGTTTTATCGTCACAGACTTGTGCCATTTGGCTATGTTAATTGCTCTGAAACGTGGGTTGTGACATGGTTTAAATTTAGTTTTTATGTACGTGGGGTGACAGTGTTTAAATGACATTATTTACTTGGAACCTAAATTTATATTGATGATGTTTAACAGAGTTTCCTGGATTTTTAGGAGTTTGGGGGTTTGCAGGCTGTGAGGGACATGTTATACGATAATTTTGATGAATTTTGTTTTATTATATTTAGTCCTAGCCTACAGCCCTAGCCCAGAGCCCTAGCCCAGAGCCCTAGCCCAGAGCCCTAGCCCAGAGCCCTAGCCCAGAGCCCTAGCCCAGAGCCCTAGCCCAGAGCCCTAGCCCAGAGCCCTAGCCCAGAGCCCTAGCCCAGAGCCCTAGCCCAGAGCCCTAGCCCAGAGCCCTAGCCCAGAGCCCTAGCCCAGAGCCCTAGCCCAGAGCCCTAGCCCAGAGCCCTAGCCCAGAGCCCTAGCCCAGAGCCCTAGCCCAGAGCCCTAGCCCAGAGCCCTAGCCCAGAGCCCTAGCCCAGAGCCCTAGCCCAGAGCCCTAGCCCAGAGCCCTAGCCCAGAGCCCTAGCCCAGAGCCCTAGCCCAGAGCCCTAGCCCAGAGCCCTAGCCCAGAGCCCTAGCCCAGAGCCCTAGCCCAGAGCCCTAGCCCAGAGCCCTAGCCCAGAGCCCTAGACCAGAGCACTAGCCCAGAGCCCTAGCCCAGAGCCCTAGCCTAGAGCCCTGAGCCCTAGCGCAGAGCCCTAATCCAGAGCCCTAGCGCAGAGACCCTAGCCCAGAGGATACCTAGCTCAGAGCCCTAGCTTAGAGCCCTAGCCCAAAGTTCTAGCCCAGAGCCCTAGCCCAGAGCCCGAGTCCATAGGCCGTAGCCCAAGGTCCTAGCGCAGAGACCCTAGCCCAGAGGATACCTAGCTCAGACTCCTAGCTCAGAGCCCTAGCCTAGAGGCTGTAGCCTAGAGCACTAATTTCCATCCTTAAGCTAGCGTTTTAGCCGTACCCTTGGTTTTAGCGTTAGCATTGGTTCTAGCCCTAGCTTAGCGCGTTAGTCTTAGCCTTGGTTCTAGCCTTGTCTATTGGTCTACCCTAGGTCTTCCTTTGTCTGTTCGGTCTAGCTATAAATTGACTTTACGATAAGCTTAGTTTACCTTTATTTTAGTCTTATCATAACCATGTATTTTCTCTGATCTTATCGTTCTCTATAGTATAGATACGATGATGTCAAGTATGATTCTATATAATAGTATAATATAGTCTAGACTGGCTTTGAATGACCAAAAACAGCATTTCTAAAGGTAGGGTAGGGCATGGTAGAGAATGGTATGATAGGGTAGGGTAGAGTAGAGTAAATTAGTGTAAAATACGGTGGGGCAAATATTCGTAATTATTGAAAACAACATAATACAGTGTGATATTATCCAGGAAGTCTTGTTTTATCAATTTCTGCTTGTTTTGACAGTCTTGAAACGTTTTAAAACGCAAAATTTGAACGTGAAAAAAGGTTGGAAACAAGCCTATTTCGAATAATCTGATATCCATTAAATGTTTCGTCCCAAAGTAAATGGGAAATGTCATTCGGAATTTTGATGAACGAGACTTTTGATTTGATTTATGTTTGGCTGCCGGGCATAATGGCCAGGAACATGTTGGATTATGTTGTTATAAGGTCGTGGGTAGGGGATTTTTTAAAGCCAAATTGGGTCAAAATTTCGATTTTGAAGTAATGTGAGCAGGGTATTATAAAATTTGTAAAATACGTATACTGAGGGACCAAACTTGAGATAGCCAAGTTTATTTTATTTATTTAAAGGGGGGGGTCAAAATTTGATTTTTTAAGTATACAATAAAAAAAATTTTTAAGGTAGAGTAAGTTTGTGTTTGGGTAACAGTAAGGCATGCTGTGGAGTAGAGTATTGACGAATAGGGTCGGGTAGGCTGGGTAGTGCCGAATAGGACTGGGTAGGCAGGGTAGAGTCGAGTAGGGTCAAAAAGAACAAGGAATGGCCGTGCACGGCAAGAATTAAAGCAAAGTAAGACCGGGTAACGGCGGGTAGGGTAGGGTAGGGTAGGGTAGGGTAGGGTAGGGTAGGGTAGGGTAGTGTAGGGTAGGGTAGGGTAGGGTAGGGTAGGGTGGGGCACGTTTTCGCAAAATTTTTGTTTTTATTAGTATTTTTTTGGCTAATTATTTAGCAAAACAATTAAAGCAATTATACTGTAACAATCGTCTCGACGTCTTTTGTTATTATCAGATATGAAAACACGCTTTTTTCGTTTTTTTATATTTTAAACTTTTTTTATAACATGAGATACTGTAATTTTAAAGTTATGGCCACGGCCGGGCGCTGAGCTAGGGCTCTGGGCTAGGGCTCTGGGCTAGGGCTCTGGGCTAGGGTTCTGGGCTAGGGCTCTAAGCTAGGGCTATCTTTTCATCACATGGTAATGTTTCTAACGTTACTTTTTTTACTATTCACTCCTCCACTGTACCGCGAAACATTCCACGGGAAATGACATTCTAAATGACTTCAAAAGTTTTTTTTTCCAGATTCTAAACGAAGAAGCTTCTGAAGTCTAAGAATGATTTCATTCAAATTTCCTTCTAAACATGTTTTTGAAAATTGTCGAGAGGAAAAAACTTATAATAATATTGTTATCCATGTCCTCAGGGTTTGTTTACAGGCGGGAAAAGAATTTCATGCACTTTGCAGTGTTCTCTTTTTAGTAGGCCTAATTTTACAGTACTTTTGAAAAATACTTTTGCAACGCTAACGTTTGCCACTATCATCTTTTGTTCTAAGCGTAGGGCCGTTAAGCTTATGCATCAATTTTAGCTAAAGATTAGACTTAGGAATTAGGCATAGGCTCAGGCTTAGACTTAGGCTCAGGCGTAGGCTTAGGCTTAGGCTTAGGCTTAGGCTTAGGCTTAGGCTTAGGCTTAGGAATAGGAATAGGAATAGGCATAGGCTTAGGCTTAGGCATAGGCTTAGGCTGAGGCTGAAGTTTTGGCTTAGGCTTAGGCTTAGGGTTAGGCTTAGGCTTAGGCTTAGGCTTAGGCTTAGGCTTAGGCTTAGGCTTAGGCTTAGGCTTAGGAATAGGAATAGGCATAGGCTTAGGCTTAGGCATAGGCTTAGGCTGAGGCTGAATTTTCGGCTTACGCTTATTGTTAGTTTAAATTTTCCGCTTAGGCTTAAGCTTGACTTTAATCTAAAGCTGTAATTTAGGCTTAGTTTACAGTTTACGTATAAATTCATTTTCATCATAGGCTTATGCTTAGGCTCATAATTAGGCTTCAGTTTAGATTGAACTTTAATTTTAGGCCTAAGCTTCGTTATAAACTTATGATTTTTTTGAAATTTAATTTTGTTAGTCTAAAGTAAAAAACTAATTTGAGTATATGTTAGGGTTAATTACATTACATTTTGCAAAGTTATCACGCTATGAAATGTTTCTTTCTTGAATGTCAAATTATGTTGAAAACGTTATGATATTTCGTGACTTAAAAGTTTAAAAAATTTTATTGTTGCAAAATTACGTTTTTAATTTTTTCCTAAATTAAAAAAAAATTTATTATCACAATTTTTTTTGAATTTTGCTAAAAATGGCATAAAACATTCTTTTTGTAAGATTAAAAAGTATGCAATAAAATTGTGCTATAAAAGCTTATAATTATATATTTCTTTTACGTTTTTATGCTTGGGAAGTGGTAACATATGGTTATACATTAAAATATGTTATTATAGGTTTTTTTTGCTTTTAATGTCATACTTAAGTCATTTTTAATTTTTGCTTAGTTAACATTTGATCTTGATGTACCCTAAAATAGCCATAGATTTAGCTTGGGATGGGCATTAGCTGCTTGAGCTTGAGTCTAAGCATGAGCATGATCTTGAGCTTGAGCTTGAGCCTAAGCCTAAGCCTAAGCCTGAGGCTGAGCCTGAGCTTGAGCCTAAGCCTGAGCCTAAGACTGAGCCTAAGCAAGAACTGTAGTCTTAGCCTTAGCCCTTGTTTTAGTCCTAGACCTGGATTTACTTTAGCTGTACTATATAGTACGGTAATCCATTTCAATCCTAAAAATGTAAGGTTGTTATTGAAGCGGTAACTTAATCCGTCTGTCTTTTTCGTTATATCACGGTTGTCATATTTTATTTTTCATTAAGACCAGTCGAATTAACCCGCGTTTTTATGATTAATTTCGGTTGGAACTGCCGCAGGACACGTGGAGTTTTTTGCATGAGGGTTGGTAAAATAAGTGATGTTACGGAAATTACGGAGTAAAGTGACAATTTTTTATTACATGTTTTTCTACCCTACCCTACCCTACCCAACCCTACCCTACCCTACTCTTAAAAAAAATTCTTTTTACATTACTGTAAAGATCATAAAATAATCATTGATTATTGATTTTTTATTTTTATAAAAAAAAATTTTGTTTAAAGTATGCCTTTTTGAAATGATGATTTTAATGGTTTTTCATAAACTGACTGATCAGTTATGCTTTTAGCTTTACAAACATCTTTATTCATACGGTTCAAAAGGCTTCTGGATTCTTTATTTTGTTCTTTTGGTTTGAATTATAGCTAAAAACCGTAGTAATACTAATTTTTAGCCTACGGAGGCCGTAGACTTATCATTAGTATTACACGACTTTTGGCGCACCCTGTACCCCTACCCCTGTCTTCCCCCTGTCCGCCCTCCCTCCTTGCGACCGTGCCTGGTCTTTGTTTGCGCCCGAGCCTCGTCTTAGAGCTAGGCCTATTCATAGATCTAGCTTCATAGACCTAGCTTCAGACGTACTTTTAGTTTTAGTCAACAGTATTAATATTGTCAGTTGTAAAATATTTTGTTACCTAAATTTGCAAAAAAAAGGTTTTTTCAAGTATAAAAGCACTTTCTTTGTTGCGCACGTAGCCTATTCATAACTATAATATAATAATCGTTGTATTTGACATTCTCAACACTTCATTTACTTTCTTGGCGTTTCTGCAAGTTGAACACTATTTTTAAAAATTTTTTAATTTTTTTTTTATTTCGATTTTAAAAAATTTTGGTTTGAATTCTTTTTAAAACTTTTTTCTTGCAAATTTTGGGTTTTTAAAGCAGTGGGAAAGGTAAGGGCTCAAATGGTATTTTACTGTGACATATATAGAGCAGTATTTTACATTTTGGTAAAAATTTTTTTAAAATTTTTTAAAAATTTTTCAAGAATTTAGAAAAAAAATGAATTTGGTTTACTATAAAATTATGCTTTTTAAGGGTAGTATTTGTAAATTTTTACATAAAAATTTTGAATTTTTGAAAAAAAATTAGCTTGGTCCCCTCCCCCTGTGAACTTTTTTCTAATTTTTATTATTTTTTGGTAGTCCAGCAAGTCCTGGTTCCGTTTGTGTTGTTACTCGGTTGTCAGTAAACTATATACCAACTTTGGTCCCAATCGGTTCACTCATAGTCAAGTCAGATGGGGGGGGGGGGGGTCAAAACTTTCTGCCTTCAGTATATAAGAATGCAAAGTAGCTACCCTACTTTACCCTGCTCTATCCTACCCTACCATTTTGGATTTCTAAAGTTTTATGCTACAACCAAAACTCATGGTATGTTACTTCCGTTTGCGAAGCAATCCGAGCTGTTACACTTGGATTATGCGTAGTAATGTTACACATGTCAGTGTAGGGTATTGGGATTAAACTGTTTACACCCGATTCTAGAATGTATGACTGTTTAATTACTGGTTTTGAGTCTTAGAGGAAATGTACGGAAATTGGTGTTAATCTGGTCAAATTATACGTTGTGGGCGTGGGTAACGTATGTTGGGTGGTATTTAATATAAACCATTATTTTTTAATTTAAGGGGGGGGGGTCGGGTTGTTTAAAATTTGCAATTTTTTTAAATTAGAAGTTTTAAAACTCTAATCAATACTTCCGTTGTTAAGATGATAATTTTTTGCGTATAAATATATACGTCTTATAAGATTACCACAGACCTCCCAAGACGAATTTAAATTTACTTTTATGTAATGTCATTTATGACATTCTTTCAATTATGTGTCTTCAAAGTTATGTTTTGCTTCCTGTTTTATTAGTTGTAGCCCTCCACAGTTTTAGCTCAGAGCCCTAACCCAGAGTCTTAGCCCCAGAGCTCTAACCCCAGAGCCCTAGCTCCAGAGCCCTAGCCCAGAGCCCTAGCTCCAGAGCTTTAGCCCCAGGGCCCCAACCCAGAACCCTAGACCAAGCCCTAGCTTAAAGCCTTATCCCAAAGGTTACAGCTTCAGCCCAGAGCCCCAGCCCCGTGCCCTAGTCCCGAGACCGAGCCTAGATACCATGCCTTCTCTTCTTCTGTTTATTGTTACAGAGCAATTTATATTTCGTCCACCTAGTATTGATTTTTTTAATTTTATCTTATCTTTCCACCCGCGGCCCTAATTTACCCTACCCAAGACCTACCGTTGCCTAAAAATCTTTCGGCCTTCTTATTTTGCAGCCCAAACACTTATATTATACAATCGTCTATGGTAATACCCATAACTCATTTACAAACGTTACCGCGAAAAATTTACACATAACATCTATATATGCATCATCAAATGATATACATTACCACCATTAATCATAGTGCAACCGTTAATGATGCCATTTGGGGGCCGGAAGGGCTTTATTTCAACAAAAATTTGTCTGAAAATTGTATTGATTTGTTTTTAATAGGTCAAAGCATTAAAAGGGCTACAATCTTAAGTATTTACGTGCCCATTCATGAGTAATACACTCAGGTCAATATCTTCATTTACAGTTGTAAATTTCCTGTTTATACGAGACGAGGATGGTAATTAACTATACTGTTATTGTGTTTTGTCGGCAGCGAGTTGTACACGATTTTATAATATATTTTGTTGTTTTATTGCAAATAACAGCTGTAGAAAAGGTGTTTTTAGTTTGTAGCTAACGTAATTTCATTTAGTAGTTACAGTAGTTTTACGTTGTAGTCGACAATATTTTACTTATGTAGTTATACAGTTAAACCTCTTTAGTATGACACTCGAGGGACTGGACCAAAACTATTGTAACCTGGTTGTCATACTATGCATGGGCATACTAAACAGATTTTACTGTAGTACTTTTTGTCATCATTTTTCTATGTATCACTCTTACAATTGCTTACAGTACCATTTTGTACAAATCGCAAGTAATTATAGTATCTTAAAAACTTTCCCAACAAAATTACCAGAACACTCTTCAAGTCAAGGAGATTTGTAACAGTACTGGAAACGTCAATTTCCTCATCAATGTAATTCAGACTCGAAATTATCACATCCATTTCCTGGGACTGGGAAAGCGAATCTCGTAATGTGTTTTTGGGCCTTAACTTTACAACTTTTCTTCAGTAAATAAATGGTTGAGAAACATGTTGACACACGCTAGTATCACTACTGGAACACAGATTTTATATTCATAGGGTTGGGCTGAGTTTTTTAGTGTTCAAAGTGCTTTTAAGTTCTTTTTTAGTTGAAGAGATGTTTTTTTTTGGTTTGGTTGATTTTTTACTAGGTTTGTGAAAACAAAGTTTCAATGTTACTTTATTTTCAATGACGGAATAAACCTTGGCTTTTTTACAACGAAATGATATGTAATAGTTTACGTAACAGCAAAAGATACAGTTTACTTTCCAAGAAATTGGTTGTCGATGCCATCCCTCAATCTACACAGGTTTAGCTTTTCTTTATTATTGGTCGTTGCAACGGTTGATGGCTGGCTTGCTGTCGTCATTCCTTGTTGTGTAAGCGTCTTCTAAAACATCAATTCTTGTAAAGTTTTAATTTGTTTACACACCTTTTGAAATTTGCCAAGTTGTCCGAAATTAAAGATTAGTACATAGCAACAGTTTTAGTCACGCCGTTAGAAGAATATATTTGATCGTATTTTTTACATATTGAACTTACAGTTTCCATACTGGTAGTTAATAAGTCAGCAATCGCATTTCGATTAGAATACAGTATGGTAGTTCCATTTTGATTGGTCCGCAACAATATTGTTTGGCGACCGACCGACCTGCTACATCTAAACAAAATAAATTATTTCAAACGCCTTTTCTATAAAACTCACATTTCTATTGTTGTCAAACCTTGTTTTTTCCA